AATAATATTTTTAACTAACTGTGTTTTTGTTAGCCCTTAGTCATTTGTTAATTTGCCTAAAGCCTAATCATCTTGTTTTCACATAATCCTTTATTTACATGTTTTGTCATCCAATTGAGGATTTACTTGTACTTTTTCAATGAAAACTGATACCACAATTCTCTCAATTGACTCCTAAGACCCCTGCCCAGCCCCCTGTCTATCACATTTGAGAAAGTTTGGAGAACTTAGGCAAAGCAGATAGGATAATTAGGATTGCTATTCCACCAATTGAAATGCACTGTTCAGACCACATCCTACATCCCTGAAGTATGTTTTTTTTTTTTTTATATATTCTTTTAAGAAGCATCCATAACTAACCAGTTAAAGCGATGGGGAAGGGGTGGCAGGGAGGCAGGAGAGGGTGTTAGGCAAATCCTTGGATATTGTTACACGTTGTTACATCTTTTTAAAAGATTCTAAACTCACAATGTGGCAAAAACGTCAAAAGGATTGTGCTGTTTCAATATATGTATTAATAATAAAATCCCCTTTAAAATGTTTGAGTGATTCTGCTGAAGTGTTTGTAAGAGTACAACTACAGATTCATAAGACAGGTATTTTCAAGGCACAATTTAGGTTTCTGTTAGTGCTACGTTTAGGAGTTTTTATGGTGATTATTGGGCAGTACAAGCAGTTTAGGAATTAGTAGTGTTTAGGGCTAAGATTATTGTGTTTATTTTGTCTTTTTGGTTCTGTTTGAATGTAGACACCCCCGAGTAATGTAGGGTAACTACATACATTTGCGTGCTCCACTTATATACCGGTAGTGGTTTTGATACCTTGACAGTCAGTTTATAAAAGTGCTGATTTCAAAAGAAATAGGCACTTTTACAATTGGGAGCAGAGAAACTGAGCCAGCCAGATAAGTTTTCTTCCACTTCGGTTAGCGCCACAGAATTGACGATAGTGGCAGGTGGGCAGGGTTACAATGTGCCTGCCTCCTCGCGTTCTCAATGAGTCGTGTTACAGCTCATTGAGAAGCATAGGAGAGCTGTGATCGTGCGTGTGTGAGCTTTTGGGGCACAAGTACAGAGGCTTCTCAATGACAAGCCTGTAACTGGTGTATTCCCCAGCACAGACTGAAAATCAGCATTGGGGAAAGAGGGAGGGTTTGCAAAGGCTGCAGGCAGGAGGTCCGCGGCTTGAGCAATCAGTTTTTTTTTTAAATATCCTTTAAAGAAGACATGCAGACAAAAATACAGCATGTTTTCTTTGGGGCATATCTACTAAAATAAAGTTAAAAATAAAAAGTAAAAAAAACTTTTTCAATGGAGTGTTCATTTAAGCCTTTCTACTCCACTGAGTGTCATACTGCAATGTCCTAAACTATTGGAGAACAATGTAATTTTTGTAATTCAGTAAGTCATTTAGAACAAGCACAAAGTATATTTACACATACTAATCCATATATCTATTTACTGCAATTAAAACTCCTGGGGAGCTTTGTTTATTACAGAGCTTTGCTGACATTAACCAGTGCAGATTAGCTAGTGAAACATTTTAAGCTTTCAACTCGGCAAAATCTCATATGCGCTCACATCAGACTTTCAAGGGAGCTTACAAAATTTTTTCCCCCCCATTTTGAAACTTCATAATGAAGTTTACCAAACTTTTACAACACTGAATTGAAAGCAATTTCACCAGTAAAGGATCCCAGGATACAGAAAGGACACTTGGATCTTGACAAGAGGAGCACACATATTGCACTCCCCGTGCAAGCTGTAAGCTGTTTGAGCAGGGCCCACTCCAACTTATGTCCCACTACGTCCAATTGGTCTTGCTGCAACAACTTGCTTGTTAGTCCCCCTGTTGTACAACACTGCAGAAAATGATGCCTCTTTTTATATAATAATAGTCGATTGCATATATTGTAATGTGCTGTGGTAGGGGCTTGCTTGGATAAATTAGTTTTCTATTAAAAAAAAAAAAAATGAATGCCATAATATATCAAGAAAAGTCATAAGTATGCACGTCATAAGTAAGGGGCATGACAAGGTACATCCTAATGCAGGGCCATATTGTTCATACGGTTCCCTGATTCGGTCTTTGACACTTTGAGTTTGGGTTAGCATGTTATATTTTTGAAGACAAACTAGTCCTGACTATCTCAATGCACAGCTGATCAGGTTTGCAAAAAAAATTTAAATGTATATGTTTAAATAAAAATGTTTAAGTGCTTTCCTCTTGGCACATTCAAATGCAATGTGGTGCACACATCTATAGTAAGAGAGACAAGTGTCTCTTAATATAGATTTATCAACCCCACATTTATAAAATATTTATTTAGTAAAACATATTTATATAAGTGTATCTGTCTGACTGTCTGTGTGTATGTCTTTATGGTCTAATCATTAAATTGTGACCTGCAGTGAACTGACAACTGACATTCAAAATGTAGAGGGTTATTCACTAAATTGAGGATTGTCCAGAATTCAAAAAAAGTTTCAAATTTTAATCCAAAGTAGCCAAACTAGAAATATTCTCACAGTACACAGTTCTGCTAATGTGGCCTTCAATTTGAAATTTGCTTTAAATTCCTATGAATCCTCACTTTAGGGAATAACCCTATTACACTGAAAGAGCAGAGTTAAAAATAAATATTAGAAATACATCAGAAACCTATTTGAATGTAAATGTAACTGGTAGTTAAATTGTCAACTTGTTTAAGGGTTGCTGCTTTTTCAAAAATGTTGACCAAACAGTAGGCACCTGCAGTCCCCCAATAAAAACTTTACCCAATAATGTACTTGTGATATTGTATAGAGCAGTGGTAGTCAACCTTTTTCTACCTACCGCCCACTAATGCATCTTTTTGGTTGAAAATAATTCCTTACCGCCCACCAGTTTTCGCACAAGTGCGGAATATTTTTTAGAAAGGAGGGTGTTTTAAAAAAAATAAATGTATGTACATTTATCTTTTTATTTCTACTTAATACATGTTTATAATGATTTTAACTTTATAAAGTTTAATGAGAAAACAATAAAGTAAATTGAAATTACCTTTACTAGTGATTAAAGAGATCCTTGAGGTTGATACTGCGAGACTAAATATTTGATATCTGGTTCGATTTTCGTAAGGAACAAACGAAGGTCTCCTCTTTCGGTGATATTCAGACGGCTTCTCTGTTTGCGCATAATATGATTTCTCATCTGTGCGTTAGCTCCCCTCCTCTCCCTCCTCAATTCCCCTCCCCACCTTTTTTTCCCCTTTTTAAAATTTTTTTTAACCTTCCTTATAGCAATGCCCAGTAGGAAGGCTGAGCTAGGTATCCCACTTACTATTACTTACTATAGCCCACTATAACAGACAGGCACACATACATACATACATACATACAGACACACACACAAGACACATACAGACACACACACAAGACACACATACAGACAGGCACACATACAGACACACACACACACACACACACACACACACACATACAGACAGGCACACATACATACAGACACACACAGACATGCATACAGACACACATACAAAGACACACACATAAGACATACATACAAAGACACATACTCACATACATACGACACACATACATACAAAGACACATACACACACAACACATACAAAGACAAGACACACATACATACACACATACATACAGACACACACACAAGACACATACAAAGACACACATACATACACACACATACATACAGACAGACACACACAGGACATACATACAAAGGCACATACACAAACAAACACACACATTATTTTTAAGTCACCCTCCTGTTTCCTACCTTTAAGGTGCAGGAGGGTGACTTTCCCTGGGGTCCAGTGGTGGCTCAGGTGGATGGGAGTCAGAGTTCCCACTCTGACTCCCTGTTCTTCCTCCTGCGCGGCTCTCAGTGTTAGTCACTTCCTCCCGGTCGCACTGTTAAAGCGCCCAGCGCTGACCGGCCCCCTTACAATCCACATCCATTGGGTGGCCCTGACAGCATGGGCCACCAGATGGACCCCTCCATATGCGGCCCCGGTGGTCGCAAGTGGTGATGGCGGTACCCGGTCACAGGGGTACCGGCGGCTCACGCCCGCCCAATCTGTCAAAATTCGAAAATCCCTACCACCCACCTGGAATCCTGAAACGCCCACTAGTGGACAGTAGGGACCAGGTTGACGACCCATGCTGCAGCATTACGCAAAGCAAGGTAATGGACAGTAGGCACTGTGTAAGGCCAAAGGAGATGTGAGTATTAGCAAGACTTGGAGATAACATGAAGAAATAATTAAACCAAACTAAGCCATGCTTGTTGTGTCCGCTCCCCCCACTCCAAATAAATAAATAAATAAATAAATTGAAGTCCATTTATATTTCATATTGCTGTGCATGCAGCTTCCTTGGCTGTATTGATACATTTCCTGTCAGAGAGCTGTTTGTTGCCCTGCCCCAGTGGCACTAATATACTTATTATTTTTAGTATTTGTGCCGGTGAAATATACACCTACTCTCCTCAGAAAGTGGTATGGTGGTTAGAGAGGTTGTTTTAAAGTTTAACATACTTAAAATCTGTAGTGTTTGGTCTAAATCTCGATTGCCCTGCTTTGCTAATTGAGTTTACATTATTGTTCTTAGGATGTCGTTTTTTTTTTGTTTGGTTTTTTTCCTGGAGACAAGTCATACATACACACATCAGAGCTATCTGTTGAGAGCAATTTGTACCATTTGAATTTAACTCGTGGCTTCCACTTTGATTCTGGCACTTTGTCTGTGTAACCCTTTGAAATGCAAACGTGCCTTTCAATGCAAATCGTTTGACTGGTGGCCCAATAAAAAGGCTGTGGACAGGGAGGTGCCTTTCAAATTGATTGTGAGATCTGCCAAGGAAGGTAAAGGGAGCAGGCAGCCAGGAAGAAATAGAGCAGAGTTGAAGGAAACTCCAGGATACACAAGACGACTGAGCAATTCAAATTATGTGCACAAGACCCATTGGGAAAGATGTACGTGGGCTATCTTTTGGATAAGGACAACAACATGTACCCCAACCCTGTTAGGGTTAACCCTGGACTCAACCTTAACCCCCAGAATTATGTCCCTGCTCCCCCTCAGTACTCAGACTTTGCCACCTATCACCACGTCCCAGGGATTAACAGTGACCCTCACCATGGCCAGCCTGGGAGCAGCTGGGGGTCTCCTTATGTGCCAAGCAGAGAGGATTGGCACTCATATGGCCCAGGACCTGCAACCTCTTCAAATAACCCCACTCAGATAGGATTCGGCCCCACTGATTTTAATCCAGTTCAGCCACCAGGTTCCGGACTTATCCCACCTGCCATGAACAGCTCAGTGCCCCCACTCTCACCCAATGCGCAAAGGCGCAACCCTTATGAGTGGATGAGGCGCAGTGGAATACCCGCCAGCAACCCCAACAATGGTGAGTAGAGGGGTATGCAAAGAGAGGGGGAACTGGGGGAGGAGTTGGGGCCGGGAAATTTAAATGTAATGGTGTATTTCAATAAATTAATACATTCTGGCTGTATGTGGGGGGCAGTCTATTTACAGTTTTAGTTAGTAACAATAAATAAAAAACAAATCAACCGTTTTAGTCATTACTAAAAATTGAATAAATATAGAACTATACTTAGCAAAATTTGAGATTTTCCAATATATTAATGTTTGACAAATGTTGGCCTTAAGACAACACAGATTGCTATGTTGTCCCCCTTTTTCGAAACTTAACCTGGGGGGTTAGGAACTGATGTAAATATCATTGGCAGATATGTCTTCCTTATAGGTCAGATGTTATGATAGGAAGGAATTTAAGGCATTACAGATATATCAGATATAGTATGGACTAATCCATTTTCAGCAGTTACTGTAATTTAGGATAAACATTCACAATTGTGTTTTTTTTTTAATTTAAATAGGACTGGGCAGAATTATTTGCACAATTTGAAGCTTAGTGATTAATCTTGTTTAGTAGTTTACAGGTTATAGAAATAGAATGTTTAAAAAAATTGTCACAATTAGTATTGCAGTAAGGGTTTTTAATGAACAAGATCATGCAGATATTTCCATCACTTAAATTTCTATATATTTGCTCATTATTTATAAATCACTAATATATGCTGCAGTGCTGTTTAATGTGATTTATTCAAATGCTGCCTAGCCTACCATTAAACATGACTAAATATGATGGTAATTTAAATGCACAAAGCTATCAATACCATTATGTATGGTTTTACTTATTTTGAGCTTGATGTAAATGTAAATTGTAAAAAATCTGGTGTTTACTAGGTAGGGAATTTTGGCAAGTTGGCAGCTGCCTTGTGCAATTTAGTATATAATGTAAGTTTTAACTGTAATATAGGTTTTTTCATGTATTGCCAACTTATTATTATTTTTTTTTTTATGGCATCAATTATATAGCTTAATAATATAGAGTTTGTTTGTTTTTTTAGATATAATCATTAATAATGGCAAAAAATATTTTTTAACTTTTGGAACAGTAAGTTCTGAAAACTTGAGAGCCCACTTGCTAGACAAAGAGCACAATCAATAGCTTAAAAAAAAATAAATTACAGTTCAACAGAGTTGATGATTTTTTTCCAACTCTGCCAGTTTTTACAAACTGATTATTAACAACCCAAAGTTGCTGCTTAGTGAAGACACCTGATAGTGCTTGTAAAATTTAATAGGAGATGTCTCTTACTCTTTTATATTGTGAGCAGCTTTTAGCGATAATCTGGCACTTTATAAAAGTGCAAAGTAGTATTTCACTGTGATTCGAATTAAACATGCTTTAAAACATATTCCAGGACAGTAATCGTTAAAATGTATATGGTATCTTGGAGTCTATATTTTTTCCAACGCGACACACAGATTTTTCCTGTTCCTGGTTTATAGAGCGTTTGAAACAAGAAAATACCTGGTGTTGCTAAATCTGTCTCCTTAGACTTTGCTCAACTTTGTTTCACATTTTTTTTTTTAAATCCGCTGTCTCTCCCTCTGCACCTATCTCATATAATATAAATAATATTAATTCAGATTTCCCATTTATTAATGCACTGGGCATGCATTTTGTTTAACTCACACTATTTTAGTTCATTACTCAATTTTCAACTAATTTTAATTCTATTCGATCTAAAGGAACTTTTTCATTTTGGACCGGTTTACGAGAATAATGAAAAATAGACATGTTTAATAGATTGATCATTATGTTCTTTCAGCGGTTTTATTCGTGAGATACTTTCATGTTGGTTTCAAGTGCAATTTTGTCCTTGGATGCATTGTTACTCTGGCACTGAAGGCCCCTCCATTGTCTAAGTGTGGTGGTGGGACAACAATAGTTATTGCAAACAAAGACAATACAAACACGTTTTAGATAAACTGTGTGAAGGGCCAAGAAGAAAATATAATCAAATTAAAGACTTTAGGGTTATAGTTTAGTGTTATCAACCAATACTTTTCCTAAACAAAGGTCTTTCACTTCTCAATGCTATCATGAAATGCTGTTGCAAAACTCGTTTAATTCTGCTCTGATATATAACAAGCATTATGTGATTCATAAGAGTTAACAAAATTAGACTATAACTATTCTGGCATGTATAAATATAGACTACAATCTTTGGAAATAGTACATGTTTATTGTAAAACACACTAATAATACTTTTGCTTTGGATAAGTTCATTCAGCTGTATAAAACTGAATATTTTGTGCCCCTAGATGCAATATAATTAACTAATTTTCCTTTCTTCTTAGTAGGCTAAGATCTGTAGGCATTGTGTATTCTAGAATCAGCGTTCTCCAAACTCTGATGCTCCAGATATTGCTGAACTACAACTCCCACGATTCTTTGAATGAAAAAGATAGCCAGAGAATCATGGGAGTTGTAGTTCAGCAACATCTGGATGGCCAGAGTTTGGGGGACCCTAGATCATGGAAGGCCAAAAGATAAATCCCACGTAAAAATAACAGCTCAATGACTTGCCAGCAGTTTGGTCTTCCCTCATCAAAGGCTGGGATTGTTCTTCCAATTACTCTTGGCCTCCCCCAAAAATGTATTATCACCATCTACACAAGTTATTTTCCTTTAGACAAATGTGCATAGAATGTATTTGAAATGTGGGTTAGAATAGCTTGCAGTTCAAGGATACCTAAAATTTTAACATGATACAAGTTTACACGAATTATTATTTTTTTAATTTATTCATAATGCACAAGAGAAATATTAATGGTCTCGAACATTTTAACAATTGTCTGGTATTCGTTATATCAGGGTCTAAATAAATGCTTAGAAGTAGAAATACAGTTTTGTCTCAAGCAGTAGGTATGAGATAAATAAAACAATAATCACATCTTATGGATATTGATAAGAAATTAGATTTTCATTTCGGGCATGCAGCTTTCTAAATATGCCATTGAAGACATAATGCAGAAAGTAAGTACAGTTAAGCTTAACATAACTATTCCTGCCTGCCAAGAATCTGTAGTGCGTTGAGTGTGCTAAAATCTTTCTCTGGCTACTATAGAATGCATTATTCCATAAACTATTTTTCAGAAAATGAACACTGAATAAGGTTACCTGAGCACCTGTGGCTCACACCTTCTCTATTGCTTGTGTCGATGCTTCCGCATTAATCTGAGCTGTGATGTGCGGCAGTGATAGTGAACCTCAGTTCAGTGTTAAAACATTTTCGAATAGTGATTAGCAATGAATGAGAGCCCCTGACAGCCTGAACCCACTCTTTTCCGATTGGAGTATTACTCATAGCATTGATAGGCATCAATGATAGACTAAGAGCATCAGCAGTCCAATGTAAGCCTATTACTTCTGCCCAACACTGGTATGAATTGGTACGGCAAACGCAGAGTGTAAGCCATATATCCTGCAGGGAGCAGAGCCAAGGAAGCCTGGGTATGGTCAAACAGTGTGAAAACAATCGAAAAGTGCACTGTGGAATGGTATCAGGAGACTTCAGGGACCATATCCACTTCAATGAGGTGAAGTGGTTATGATGCCTAAAGCGTCCCTTTAAATTGTACATCCACTTGTATTAATCTTCTTTTCATTAAAATAAATTCAATAACAAATATGTAATAATAAGACCAAGCAATTGTTTCCTTAATCAAGGGGAGGGAAATAACAAATTTCCATATTTAAACAAGCATTTTTTAAATTACTGATTTATTTACTTAGTATCGGAACTCTGATTTCTCTACAAATTCTGCAGTGCTGGGTGCACTTGACTACGGGACATAGGTGAACTTACTTTACAAAACAGAAACAAAAAAAGGACAGTAGTTTTAGGATTACCTTTTACAAAATGTATAGTCTATAGACATATATTAATTAAGTACAAAATTAAGTCCTTTGCTCAAACTTCCACTACTCCTGGGTGGCAGTAATAACTATAGTACACACCAGTCTCAATACACATGCACACAAAGAAAATAGTTAATTGTGCACTAGGGATTGATTTAGGATAATGCGTAAGTAATTATTTTCTTAGTTTTTTAATATACATTAATATATCTTTGCAAATAAGAAATTGTTAAAATAAAGCTAACCATTATTCTGACAGATTTGCCTAAGCAATTATACTGTATTTAAATAATAAAAACAAAAAAAAACATAATTGTCGAATAATGCAATTCAGTTTATCATGCTTTTAGTAGCATTAAATACTTGCATTTACATTGATCAGTAAAATAGTAAGTGAAACATATACACATTTTGGATTTTGTTACACTATTTTTGTTCGAATAATCTACTAAATTGCCTTTTTGTCTGTTGAAACTGTCTAATTTGTCATGTGTTAGAAAATATTATAAATAATATAAATATTTTATTATATTAACTAAATTATAACTAATGTTTGGCATTAACAATTATTTTCACTCTTCCTGGATAATTTGCAAAGTATAACCTTTATTTTGCCCTGAGTGATTTGTTTTCCAAATTTAGTGTTACAAGTTTGGAATTTAAGTAATAACTCCCTTTAATGTATATTCATTTATTTTCAATTATTGAATTAGGCAACTGACTTAATTAAATAATGTTACCTGTAATTTAAGAAGCATGTTGCACACTAAAGAAAAAGAGGAAGACAACTATATCACGGTCATAAATATGGTCAGAGAGGTAATGTGGGCATGACCCAAGTTAATTAGAAAAAAAAGATACATGTAAGGTAAAGGAATCTGCCTATCAAAGGTAGAAACCCTCCTTACTGAAATTACCTCCCAAGTAGAATCATTCAAAGGTAATGGCAAAACAACAGAAAAATAATACTCGGATAGAGTAGTGGGAGTAGACATGCATCTAATTGAATAGAGGCATAACCCCACAATAAAACCAATGGCAGCCAAACCCCACTCCCAAATCAGCCATGCTAATAACCCTCCGTAACAAGGAGGCTATCCAGAGAAATGGCTAAAGCTATCCAACCTAATCACCTAGGCTATCTGCTGCTTCATGGCAGCTAAAAGATTCTATGTAGCTTGCCCTGTGTGTTTAACATAAAGAGCTGCAGCTAACACAAATGGATAGACAAACTATTCTCTCCTCCATAGAAACATGAACTAAAAGAATAAGTGCATCGGCACACTAAGTAGCTCAACTCGCGTTTCGGCAGTAAATCCTACCTTTGTCAATAGCTCTTGACATTTTAACTTTAGGATGTTGTTTAAATAAAGTTTATTATTATTTTATGTTGTTTTGCCATTACCTTTAAATGATTCCGCTTAGGAGGTAATTTCAGTAAGGAGGGGTTCTACCTTTGTTAGGCAGATTCCTTTACCTTATTTGTATCTTTTTATCATATTGTAGAGTACTACATTTTTGTGAATTTTTCCTTATTGGCTTCTATTTACACATTATTATTATTTAAAAGGCGCCCACATAGTCTCAGTGTTCTTTTGACTTGAGAATCGACCTGCAGAAGTTGCCAAGTTAGAAAGAGATCTTCTCTTTTGTCAAATATTGCACATTTCCCTTGAGCCACCAGTTTATTGCACAGATCCCTTTATCATGATAAAGTCTGAGAAACTGAAGCTCAGTCGTGTAAAATAATTTGTTATATATATTATTTTATATGACATTTTCATGTTACATAAGTGTTTAGTTTTTTATTTTATTTTTTTAGTTACTGAACTATACTACTTTAGTATGCCATTTTTCTCTGGTAGCATTGTGATGTAAGGTGATTGTAAAAAGTTACAATTATGTTAGTTTGTAGAGATTCAGTTCCATATATTGAGTATTTTAGCTGCTTTTCCCAGATAATGCAGATAAAGTTGAGGATGTCAATTTTATATTTCCTACAAAATTTGCTGAATGATTCTTTGCGTTGTTTACTCATAATTTCTAATCTATCTATCATCTATCTGTATGTTTGTCTGTCTGTCTTTATGTCTGTGTCTCTCTCCATCCATTCACATGGTAAAAAAACAAAGTAAAAACTGTTACAGAAATGATTTGGTAGCTGGTTAAAATAACTGATTAATAAAGAAATCTTGGCTGAAAATCATAGTATATATTTTCCGTGAACATACATACGTGTGTGTTTGGGTTTATATAGGTAGTGTATTATCTTTCTATAGGAAAAGTAAACACAATCTTGTATTTGTTTTTTAACATTGTAAATTAACGCGACAAAGCCACAATTGCTTTACTCATACTGTAGGGTATAAACAGATCTTAGAAAATGCGAAAAGTATAAGCATACTCTGTTGACACTTTGTGCAAGCTTGAGGAACAATTTTACATTTGTTCTAATTTGGATTTGTAATGAATGAAATAAATCTGGCACTATTGTAGATTGTGTAAGTACACTGTAAATAAAAGAGTAATTCAATCAGAAAATACATTTCAAATTATTGTGTAATACTGTACACTGGGTGTCTCTACAGACCTGGAAATGACTAGACCTCATATTGGTATTTGGGAATTTATGCCAGGCAAATGATTCTACCTTCAATATAATGTATGATCAACATCGAAAAATATATTTAATCCCTTTGTGTAAAACATCCCTGGGCTCTGACTTTCCTCCAGTGCATATAATATCACCCAGGACTGGTATAATTCACACAGCCTGTCCTGACTCTTCAAATATCAACACCTATGATTAATTTCCTTGTCTACTATATCCAAGAGTAAGTGTTACAGACATATAGGTAGGGTTACCAGATCCACAATCTTTTCAGGAACACATATCACATATACATATTGATGGGCAGCACAAGAAAAGGGTTGCCCCGTAGTATGTAGAATTCAGAAGAAGGTGTATAATATTAAGTAATTAGGCAATGAAGAATCCTGCAGAGTATGCATTATACATACTGCAGGGCAACCCTTTTCATGTGTTTTCATAAATATGACAACATTATTTGTGTCCCTGAAAACATGGTGGATATGGTAACTTTACTTATAGGGAAGCCAGGTATTTGGTTTATAGGATATGTAGAGTTCACATATTATTATTATTTTTATTACTGGTATTTACAAAATGCCATTATATTCAGCAGTGCTCTACATTCAGTACAGTATAGATAAACCAATACAGAAGGAATCGAAGACCCTGGCTGTGAGTTGAGATCTAGTATTTAGAGCCCGTCTATACAAATGACTAAACTAGATGGCCTGTGAGCTTACAATCTAAAAATTGTTATTGGAACTCAAGGAAAAGGGGAGCAGGGGGAGATCTGAAGGTAAAGCATAGGGCTCTTTAGAACACTTGCATAGACTGCTAAGATGAGGCTTACTATAAAGGAAGCAAAAACTATGAAGGGTGGGAAGTACTAAGTGAAAATGGTGGATATTTCTTGGAATGAATTGTGGGGCCTATATATGGGATAGTTTGAGGAGTCATTTCCTTAGAAGGGCACCCTATCCCTTTGAACTACAACGACTATCCCACACACATACACTATCCTCCTCACTACAGCCTTTATCTCCCACCGTACAGCCCCTATATTGTATACAAGTACTACAACCTTTATCCTTCCGCACACATACACTACAGCCCCAATTTCCCCCACACACAAATTACATCCCCAATACCTTCCTCAACAGACTACAGCCACAACTTCCTTCAGAACACACACTATAGTCTATGACCCCCTAAAGCCCCTATTCCTCAAAACACACACTAAAGCCCCTGTCACATAAACACACACTACAGCCCGTATTTACATGTACACACATACAGCACCTCTAAAAGGCCATCCACACACAACTTTACAATAGCCTCACTTCAACACACATAACTCTGCAAGCAGCCTTCCCTCCACATACATGACCTCACAAGCAGCATTCCCACACACACACAACACCACAAGCACCATCCTCAGAAACATGCAACAACACAAGTAGCGTACCCTCAAAAAAGTAACACAAGAAACAGCCAAACCCACAAATGTAACCCAAAAAACAGCCTATCCCACAGAAACACTCCTACACACATACCACCCCCAAACATTTACCACTTACCATCCAATTACCCACCTAGTCACATTCACCATTCAGTCAGACCCCAAACTAGTTGCCTTCACACATCCAATCACATACCTCAAACTAGTCACCCTCAACCATTCAATCACATTCCATACACCAATTATTTGATATTAAAATGCGCATTATACTTAAAGAAATCATTTCATACTGGCATATACACAACGTGTTTTACTATAAGAGAAACTTTCATATTGGCATATACACTTTGTATTGTATTTAAATGGATATAGTGCATTATACCAACCCTTATAAAGATATATTTTTAAAGTGAATAATGCCCTGTTGGGCAAAACACATACACGTAGCACACAAGAGTTTTACAAAGCTTTAGGTAGTGTTACAGTACAAAAGGCAATCATCACTTCCTTTTCTTCTCTTTGTATTATATGGCTAGAGGTTAGAATTTATATGTTCAGACAAAGTATAAATGTAGAAACATTTTATATGATGACATCATACTCCCTAACATTGGCATGCTTTGAACCAGGAAGCCGGTAGGAGGATTAATAGGGGGTGGGCCAGTGATGCAAATTACATCACTGCTGATGCCAAAAGGGGACTCGTGGGTCCACCCAAATAACTGGAAGATCAGCATGAATGCATGCCAAAAGCGGGATAGCAGGTAACAAACACAGGACAGTGGGAGTGGATCCTAACCTTGGGACTGTTCTGTCGCAATCAGAATGATTAGGAGTCCTGTTACATTTAGCCTCAAGGAACACTCTAGGCACTTCATTTCATTGAAGTGGTTAGATTGCTTGGGGGTCCTCCGGTGCCATACCTTCTTTCACTGTTAAGCCGTTTTAAAACAGCATAAAACTGAATCCCTGGCATGGGGCTAATGTGCTGCTTTGGCTAATGCTAAACTTGAGCAGTAATGGGCACCAATGATAGGCTGAGAGTGTTAACTGACTACTCTCAACAGCTGTCTGTTGCATGCATAGATTGGTATAATTAAATGGATTCCATAGGCACCAAAACAACGTTATCTTAATGAAGCAGTTTTGGTGTATAGATTGCGCCCCTGTAGTCTCACTGCTCAGTTTTCTGCCATTTAGAAGTTAAATCACTTTACCTATACAGCCATAGTCACACCTCCCTGCATGTGACTTGCACAGCCATTCTTCACTTCCTGTGAGAGAGATCTATAATGTCTAAACTTCCTTTATTTCACGCAGGCTGTGTGAGTCACAGCCAAGAGAGGTGTAGCTAAATACAAGCAAAAATCCACCTAGGTGCTTACCCACGGTAATATAAAAAAGTAAAAAATAAATTGGCAGCACTTCAAACCGTGGAAAAATCTGAAAACATGCCCCAAAAAATCAGCTTTTGGCATTTGGAAAAAATGATCTTCTAGGGAGTGCTTGTGGCAAGACAAATGGATCATGCTATCTCTAGAAGTGCTTGTGGCAAGACAAATGGATCATGCTATCAATTACTAGAAGGTGGCAATTCTGTGCGTCCATTTGTCTGGTTACAATTACGTGTCTGTTAGTCCACCCATTGTACAGGGCTACAGAATTTGCTGGCGCTATATACATACTAAAATAATATATAATATTGTAAAGCGATGTGGAATAAGTTGGCACTATATAAATGCCAATAATAATAATAATAATATATGTGAACATTTACATGTAATATTGCGCTGAGATCTCTCGCAGCTGCTGTTATGTTCTGCCCTTGATGAGATCAACATTGATGATCAGTCCATTTCAATGAGTAATACTGAGTACTTGATTGTGATTTAAGACACGCAGGGTAAAAGGTATTTCATTGTGAAGAAGCAGACAGTAACTTCACATTAAAAACCTAAAAATGCATGTTTTGCAGAGCGCAGTTCAAAGGATCCTGGGAAAGCACTGCTTAACATAAACCAGGTTATTCACTAAAGTGTGAATTGGCAAGATTTTAAATTTGTGGCCACAATATCCAAACTAGGAATATTCAACCAGTCACCTATGGCTTCCAATTTTCTACAATTTACAAAGTAAGGAATATGAATTTTCCACTCCAATATTATTATTGTTATATTTGTAATACCACTTTATATTTTATCTGTAAAGTGAACAAACCACAATGAGAAAAGTAATGTAGAGCTATGTTTATTGTGGGTTTTAACATAATTTATTTATAAAAAGGCCATTTTCTCAAATAATGCCTGTGGATGGACTAAATTATTTTTTATGTTTTTACAGTCTATGCAGAGTAAGATTTCTGTAATTTGCTACCAAGTTTGTAGATTGCCTTAAGTTTGACTTTGAAGAAATCATAATGCTACAAATTCCTTTTTGTGATGTAAATGAGATGCAGAGACATCTCCCAAATGCCCCTTCTGAGGAAGTAGGAGGAGATAGACAAGGACCCTGATACGTGTAATTGCTCTCAAGCTTTGTTCTGTCTTGTTCTGGGGCGGAGTGACAGAGAATGGAAAGCCTTTGATCTTTAGGGTTTCCATTCTTACATTTTAAATTCAGAAGGTTTCTATTACCCAGAAAAATTACATGAGAAAGTAGCATGGAACTTATACTGACAATACTGCTGATATTGAGCAAGTGTTAACCAAATCCAGTTTATTCACAATACAATAATAATATAACAATCTCAAACAGACATTCACCAAAGTGAGAAATGCAAGGATTTAATGTGAATTCAAAGTGGTCTGGAAAAATTCTCCAAGTTATCTATAATTCCAGTTTGGCTACTTTGGCCTTAAATTTGAAATTCACATTGCATTCCCAACAATTCTCCCTGTACAGGGTTACTTAGAAAGTGAATTGAAAGCATGAGTATAATACTTTTTTGTGACTATTTTGACGTTAAATTTAAAATTCATTTTGAATTCACCCTGAATTCTCATTTTAGTGAATAACACTGTATAAAAATGGAATTGCTGGAAAATTAATTTCAAGCTGATTTGGAGAATTATTTTCTACTTTGCTATTGTGGCCTAAATTTGAAATTCACATTGAATTGGATTTTCCTGAATTTACCACCACTTTCAGATTGACAGGTTTTCCATGATGGGTAAGCAACTTTCATGTTCTCTCTTTTAGCTTTAATGTATAAAAAATCCTTCAGTTTGTGAATGTACAAAAGATGGATTATTTATATAAAATAATATGCACCAATAAAGGGAGCAGTAACAGTTCTATACATGAAAAGGTGTAATGTGCACAAAACCAATAAATGTGAAAGTGACCGCAACACTTCTCATACATAGCGACCATAGTGTCAGGAGTGTCAGTTTTTCCTATCCCTTTTTTGCTAAGTCATTCTACCAAAATGGTTCCCACTTTCAGGCTCACTCTGCTGATTATATCTTTGGCAGTAAGCATTGAAATATTCACCTGATGGTATTGTTTCTTTTGTGTGACTTTTCTTCATGACTTTTGGTCAAGGTGGTCTAGGAAGAGGCAGGTGCCTGACGGTAGCCAGCTGCCACTTCTGCTCACGTAATGTGCTCCTTAAATGCACTCCGGCCTGTAAAGGATCGTAGATGTGAAGGAACATCTTTTTCCATTGTCTATGTTCCCATCTGGTGTTTCTGCAAATTGAGACATCAGAGACATTACCTGGGATAATGACACATAGTTCCAAGCCTTAACTGTCTTTTGTGGACAGTTAGCATTCTGTTGCATCAATAGGTCACTGGTTTCTGTGCTTAGACAGGCAGCATTTTAATTCATGGAGGTTCTGCCCAGCTTCCAGCTATCTGTGCTCCAAGGGAGAATGGAAGAATGGACTTCTACTATAGAAAAAGAGTTAGTGGATCGGCCTTGTAGCGGTGTTGCACATTTCTGTGTGCCACAGTCTTATGAAGACTTGAAATCAAGTAACCAGTATATTTATGGGCATTTGGTGTGAACTGTTAAAATGTCACTTTTACGAAAAAAAAGTTTTGTTCAATTTAACTTTCAATACAATAACTAGTTTTTAGCATAATGTTTTAAAAAATCATATTTTATGCTAGATTATAACATTGATTGTTGCTTAAATTCATAATAGCTTCTCTTTAAATATGCCTTTTAGGTTAAAAAATAAAAGCCATTGTCATCTTATTTGTATATCTTGGTGGTAACACTGTGTAATCAACAGCATCTCTTTGATGATACTTTTTGTCTATGAGCTGGCCAGCCCAGTACCATTGACTCATTGTCATCTGTTAAAGCCCCTCGCAGAACGAGAGTCATAAATCAGGTTTTGCTCTCAGTTTTATTAGGGAGAAAAGAGATAATGACATTTAACCACAAGTATTTTTTTAAAAAAACAAAAAAGAAAACAGCTAACACTTTTCAGTTTAATGTAACTTAACATTGTTATTGTTCTAAAACTGATATTAAAGTCAAGCATACTGTATCTAGTATTACGTGGCGTAACACAAATTCATTATATTATCAATATAAGATCTGATGACCTCATGTCCCTTTGAAGGCGGAACTGTTTAAGAAAATCTATAATATAATAAATGCTATACCGTTAGGCTATAACTTTGTAAGCACTCTCTAGCTATTTACATTAAGTCATAGGGCTCAAATTATATAGCATGTTGATATAACACCAAATAAAATATGCATATAATTAATTTTGCAACAGGAACATGAAAACTCTGAGAATGGGAAATTCAGTTGCTTGCCCTTCGGTTAGTCCCTGTTCGGGTTCTCAAAAATGTTTTTGCTCAGTAATGCCTTTGCAAAGATAACCTATACCATTTGCATATCAGACTGATCCGAACCATATGGGCAGTCCAGAACTGAAATGCCAGCAAATTCTCTCTGCATGAGAGGTACAGCAACCTCAGACGATCATTTCAACCTTCTTTGGGCATTGTCAGCGATGTGTAGTAGAGACCCCTTTAGGCATGATGGCAGGCCCGTCGCAACAAGGCAAGCAAACCAAGCAATTGCTTGGGGCCCCGAGCTGGCCTTGGGGCCCCAAGACAACGGCCAGGAACATATTAGCCGCGAGGCAAACAAGGCACTTTCCAGGGGGCGGCAAAAAAAGCCACCCCCAGATGCCCAGGGCAAATGTCTTGTTAGCCTAACAATCCGTTCGGTCGGGCTGCACTGGCGAGGGAGCACTTTCCCCTGAGTGCTCTGCTCAGCTTCCTCGATCGCCGCAGAGTGATGCCGGGAGCCGGAATATGATGTCATATTCCGACTCCCGGCATCACTCTGCTGCGCGCAAGGTAGCTGAGCAGAGCGCTCAGGGGAAAGCGCTCCCTCGCCAGCGCTGCCCGACCGACCGCCCAGAAGCCCCACTAGAACCCCCCAGCATTCCCAAAGGTAAGGAGGCTGGAGTTAAAAAAAAAAAAAAAGAAGTGAGTGTGTTAATGGGAGTGAGTGTGTCTCTGTTAGTGTGTGTCTGTTAGTGTGTGTGTCTGTTAGCGAGTGAGTGTGTGTCTGTTAGTGTGTGTCTGTCTGTTAGTGAGTGTTTGTGTCTGTTAGTGTGTGTGTGTCTGTTAGTGAGTGAGTGTGTGTCTGTTAATGTGGGTGTGTTTGTCTGTTAGTGTGTGTGTGTGTGTGTGTTTTAAGTATGTTGGATTTAGTTATTGTGCACTTTTTTATTTTATATTTAATTTTATGATACAGTGGTGTTTTTTGCAAATGTTCAATTGTTGAAAATGTTAAAATGTTATGCACATTATATGCAACAGCAGTATTTGCACTGTAAACCTTTTTTATTTATATAAAGTGTGGGTGAACTTAAACTGTATGTCTATGCTGTGTTTCCTGTAGGCTTTGCGTGCGTGTGGGGGTGGGACCTCCATGTCCATTTTGCTTGGGGCCCCCAAATTCCTTCAAACGGCCCTGCATAATGGGTATGTAGCCCCACATCTGGATTACCCTTTTAGATTAGGAAGAGCCCAAGAAAATGCATTGGAACAAAAACAGAAAATGAAAACTCTGAAAAGTGGCAAACGTTTAGAGAAACTCAGTATCTTGCCCTTCGTCCAGAGCTTGCTGTATCTCTTGTGCAGTGAGAGCTTTCCAGCATTTCAGTTCTGGACTTTCCTCATGGGTGGGATGTAAATTGCATAGGTCCTGTTTGTAATGGCACAAGTGACCTGAGCTGTGACTAACCGAAGGACAAGCCACTGAGTTTACCTTACGGGGCACAAACTCTTCACACAGCTCAAGATAATAATGCACACTGGTAAACAAATTGACTTGGAAATTCCTCATGAATTTACCCATGATACATGTCTTTTAATGGACAGTGAAGTAATTTGAATAAAGTTACCTATATAAAATAAACCAATAAATATATTTGTATAAGCCACTGTGCAACAGTCTGTAGAATTTTAGAGACGCACAAATCGTACAAACCTCTATTACAACCGCTATATTGCCCCTGTCTTTACTTATATTTATCCCCCACCCAGTTAACACTAAAAATTAGTAACATAAAGTTTTTCCAATGCCGAGACTCATTGCATTGCAGCCCGATCTCTTCTCCTGCCACATTATCGAGTAGGTGTTGCTTCCTTGTCACTGGTCCAATCCTACCATGACGAGTGCAGCATGCATCCAATCAAATGCTTCTCATAGGAAAGTATTGAATTCAGTGCTCTCCTGTGAGCTGCATTTGATGAAGTTTGATATCCTCCTTGACATAGAATGTCACGTAATGTTTTACTTGGATTTTACAGGAGGATATGCCTCTAGTAGCTGTCAGTATGATAAATAATAATTTATCCAAAACATGGGAGATATAGGAAGAATATATTTATTGCAGCTTGTTGCTTGTGGGCAAGGAAATGATGTATCTTTAGTATTAGTAATATCAATAATTTTGACTCCTGCCTTTACAGACTCCCAAAAGGTTTTCTGACACATATAATGTGTCATATCTAAGGGACACTTCAAGCTGGTATTTTGGTTTTGGTAAATGCCTTGACATGTGATTAAAACATACCCCCATCTTAACCTTCCTGGGTGATGCTGTGTACATACACTTTTCAAGAGTTAGACAGAGTACCTGTAATATTTGACATATGCTTGTTTCTCCACAAGATGAAAACCAATATCAAACACCAAACACTGTTATGAAAAACAAGACAAAGAAAGGTTTCACCAAAACAGACTATAGTACAGCTGATGGTAAAAAAAAGTCCAAAATATGGAGAGATACCAAAACAAAGTCCTTATTTATGCCAGATGGACAGCCAACAGCCTGTATGGGGGAATATTCTTTGTGTGGACCAAATGGAGATGGCTTCTTTGGATCCGTATGTGGAGAGAGGAGAAAATAATGGTGCAATACCTCTAGTACAGAAGGTGAATATCAGGAAAGTAGGGTCTTGAACTAGCTCTAGTATCTATGGCATACAGCGGTACAATCCCTACTTATAAGATTGTATAATCTTTTAATCCGTATGTGGAGAAAAGAGAAAAATGATGGTGCAATACGTCTACTACAGATGGATAAATAATTGGACAACAGGGTCTACTGTAGTCCTACTCACGTGTAGTAGAGCTTGAACTAGCTCTAGTATGAATGGCATACAGCGGTACAATCCCCACTTATAGGATACGTGGAGAGTGGTAAGTATCGTATCGATATGTAGAACATAGAGAGGGTTAGAAAGAAGAGAGACAACTAATAGTGCTCGCTGTAAAAATATATCTTAGGAGTATAAGTAATAAAATGTGTACTCACATATGATTAAGCAACTCAATGACTCAGACGTGAGTGGTATAATCCCCACCTAGGATTTCTTTGGAGTAATGCTCAACAGGAAAAAATAAAATCAGGATACCAAGCAGAGTAAGAATAAAAAGTAAAAAGAAAATATATAAAAAAGTAAAATGGCACAATCAAAGTGTGTTAAAAGTAGCCAAAATACCTTTATTGGAATACAGAATAAAATTGTAAAATATCCACAACGCGTTTCACCTAGAGGGCTTTCTCAAGTGGATATTTTACAATTTTATGCTGTATTCCAAAAAAGGTATATTGGCTACTTTTAACATACAGGCTGTTGGCTGTCCATCTAGCATAATTAAGGACTTTGTTTTGGTATCTCTAGTTTTTAAGGTTTTTCTTAAGCTTTACCACCATTTTTTTGGACTTTGTTTACCATCATCTGTACTATAGTCTGTTTTGGCGCAACCTTTCTTTGTCTTGTCTTTTGTACTAAACTTGTTAATAGGGCTTGTTAATATCTTTAGGTTTGCTGCCTCCTATTCTCTTCATTTATAGTATCGGTTTATTTTAGCGCTGTTTCGTTTGTTTTTGTATTCTTATACCAAACATTTTTATGTTTTGTATTGATCAACAGTGCAGAAGTAAACTCACTGCATATAAACACAAGGTTTTCAGAAAAGGGTTTGAAGATATACCATGTGTCCACACATTAAGCAAACTCAAAAGGACAGTGTAAGCACTAAAATAAATTTATCTTAGTGAAGTGATTTTAGCGCATCGATCCTGCCCTTGCAGGTTTATGATTGAAAACAGTGCTTGAAAAATTGAGTTTTCCTGTTTCATTCCCAATGCCTGCAGAGGCGACCAATCACTCAGTCAAACTAGGAGCTTTCTATAAACTGGAAATTTTCTTCCAGTTTGGCTAATTTGGCCTTTAATTTAGACTTCTCTTTGAATTCCCAAGAATTCCCACTATAGTGAATAACCCTGCATGTCTGGTGTCAGCATGCAAAGTGTGGCGATGCCAGATACTGCCTGTGTCAAAAATGCTTCTTATAATGAAGCCTTGTATTTGGTGAATTGTGGTGATAGCCAAGCATTCTCTCATGTCTCACAAATGTTTTTCTCTGGGAAGTATTTGATTGGACAAGTATCATCAAGTTTGATTATATTAGCAAGGGCTCCTTAAGCTTAGAAGCTTAGAGGGCTGTTTTGGCGCAGGATAACAGGTACCATATTTTTCTGTGTATAAGACACCCCCATGTATAAGACGACTATTTTTTCCCCTATTTTTTGATCCCCAAATTAAGAAATTAATATTTTAAACATCAAATAGAACAATTTTGATATTTTAGAGGTGAATTCTTTTTTTTTTTTTTTTTTACATTCTTTATTTTAGTAGTGCAGTAAACACTTGAGAATACACAGATCAACTGAGAAGAGTTAGATAATAATGAAATGTTGAGGGTACTGCACTTTTTATAATAAAAGTATATAAAAGAGATTGCATGAGCAAAGTTCTATGAGTAATAGCAGAGACAGATTAAGATATGTTATAGAAAACCATAGAGACAATAACCACTGGGTGAGCAGAATGGATTGTTGCATGTAGACAATGAGAGCACTGTTATAATAGAGGAGCATAGTTTAGACATAAGAAATATTGTGCACTGCATTAGCAATATTAAAATGACCAAGCTACAGGTGAGCATCATGGGGCATCTTACTGATGCCTACAGCAGGAGAGCTTCGGCTGTCTTCATTGCCAGATACCCACGTGGGGCCCCTCAACTGAGCCCAAGTCTCCTGAAGGTCTGATGCTTTCCTAGGATGGTGTTCTCGTTCGTGGCAGGTGTGCACGTCTGCAGGCTCATGATTTTGTACCTCCCGTAATGCAATTTGGAGGCGTCATGTATTCGGCTTGGCTGTCCATGTGAGTGTCGGATCTGCATGTTGGACTGACAAATTCAAGTTGCTCGTCACGGCAGTTTCTTGCGCCTTCTCCTCCCCGGGTAATCACCTAACACATGTGGGGGAAGCCCACACTGGAGGTATCGCTCAGCCGGTCGGCACTGGAATGCTGTAGTTTGTCATGCGGAAACAGAGGTAGGCACTTTGTCACTGAGCTTCGCCCAGGCGGCTTCACAGAGGTGATCAAAAGTCTGCATGTGGAAGTCTGCCGGGAGGTGCCCACGTCGGCAGGTATTGCCGTGGAGGCCATCTTGTTTGTTGGGCCTTAACTCTCCAGTTCGCCAGCAGGCTGAAATGCTTGGCTGGGTGACCACTCCAAGACACCAGTGGGGACCGGGATATCATTCACCAGTCCAAAGGGGGGGGGGGGGCGGAACAGGGCACAAGGCTTAGAAACTCCTAATCAAGGTGGAAGATCAGCCGCCGCCCCGTCCCTCAAGTGGGCGCAGGCTGCATGTTTAGACAGCACAAGCTGTGTCCGCTGGGTGCTAGCCAAGGAATGCCAGAGTATCGGTAGTGTGTTCTCAGGGCTTAGTGACAAGCTTTTAGCCAACAAGCAGGGTTTAGTGCCCAATTGAGGCTTGCTAATAGGATTTCCCTGAAGAGCACTCGACCCATGCATCTGTCCTGGTTGGCTGTAAGGCCCTGCCCCCCTTAGAGCTGACTTCTGAGGAGAACAACACACTTCTGATTCTCTTAGCCTTATACATGGCGAAATACAGTAAGTTCAAATGCAAGTTTAAACTTTTTTTTTTTTTTTTTAAAGAAGTTTCCTTAAATCTAAAGAGATGAAGAGCACAATGGATATTTAAAAAAAAAAAAAGTTTTTTTTTTGTTTTTTTTATAATACGGTGTTCCTTTAAAACAATCTCATGTTCTTGTTTTATAGTAGGCTAAATGATGCAATGTTTATAAAGCATTGACATATCTTAACTCTGTACAATACATACAATTAGAAATTGTTGATAAAGTTGCGCTGCAGGTTTAGAAACTGGTTAAAAGGTGATGGAAATCCTTTTTATTCAAATTTTATCAATATCAATAAAAATAAACCCTTAAAACAGGGGCCCACCAACCATGCTTTAGAAAAGTTGGTTTAACCAGTGTCTTAGTCATTGTCATTCAGGCAATGGATAACCTCATATCTCCAAGTTTTAGTTTACTGGAATATTGTTTATAAGGATTATAGGGCAGTGAAATAATGCATCTATGAGGAGAATGCCTTGTAAAGTGAACCTGGAATGATTGAAATGACTTAGTGGCACTTTAAAACTAATACCATTCCATATTTACATTGTGCTAGACTAATTGGTAGCTAATATATAGGTGAAATTTATTTAATATATTTAATATGGTTTATCTCAGGATTTACTGCAATGCCATCAGCAAATGCAAACTACAAGAGGTCCAGACCAGCAGCACTTACGGCACCCTCACAGTAAGAATTATGGGATGATGATCACCATATTTTGGAGAAGGGTGGCTTCGCTCTACTCTTGGGCGCGCACACACGCACTCACACAAACACACACAAAAAACATAGGGGCACATGTGCTCATATATGCTCATATACACATATACAGCCATCTTCAAAGGTGTTGAGGTGATCTTCAGCTAAGTTTATATTTTATTATATGTACATCTGCTGGATGTACTAAATACAGCTTTTACCTACCTGAAGCTAACCTTGGCATCTACCTGCTTGTGGATGATAGAGACCCTAGCAGCAGCAGGAAGGGAAAACAAGTAAAATAAGTAGTATGTATACAGAATAATCTGATATAGACTGTAAGCTCTTCAACCTATCGTTCCTGTAAGTTTTCTTGTAATTGTCCTATTTATAGTTAAAACACCCTCTCATAATATTGTAAAGCTCTGCTATAAATAGCAATAATAATAATAATAGTTAAAGTGTTGGAGCTCTATAATGCAGTGGTAGTTGGAAGAGGCGTCCTAAATGCCAGCTTGGTAGTATGCAAATATTTCTTGGTGGTTCTAATATATATATTTCTACAGTTTCTTTTAAAGCTGAAAGACCAAGATCTATATGCATTGTGTGCTCTATGTCTCTTTTTTTCTCTCATGCAGCCCACAGATGTGCATCCGGAAATAACCATATGCTGACCAAATTTCCCCCCCCCCAAACGTCATGTTTTTCTGCTTTTGGGCATCTCAAATATCATGGAGCCGTTTCATTAGCTGTATTCTTTATCTGCTCATAGTAAATGTTTTGTTCGTTTGTGCTCATTGTTAAAGTATTGGGGTAGGTGGCATGTAGAAGTGTATATTTTTAAATGCAAGAAAATTGCTATTCCATTGTGGTGATCTTAGCCGCCAACCCTGAGTGTGCAACACTGCTTTTGCACACACCCTTTCCCTTTATCCATGTTACCTGCATATCTTACCTTCTTTTTCCCCAACTCCTTCTCACCAGGACCAAGACAGCCATTCATACAGAGAGGAGCAGGTGTCGCAGGCAGGCTGAGCCAAGACAGAGAACAAGGAACAGACATCCCAGGCAAGCTTTGGAGGGGGCTTTAATTCAATGAATGAATTCAACAATGAGAGCGCAGCTGGCAGTTGACAAATGTACACATTTTGGGGATCATATACTATATAATGAATTCTAACCATTGACTTTGGTAACTAAAAGTTTGGTAACCTTGATTATATTTGTTTTGAAGTAGGCTATATGAAACCTAGGCACTTGAACTAATCTCAGTATGAGAACTACCGTAACCAGGGAATTTTCCAGAGTCAATGCTGATGCAACTTTGTGTTGTAGGCTCCAGCTGTTAAGCTCCTGTGTTTATAGGTTGGTGGCTGTGGACACACAGACAGTATTGATCTGTTGTGTTGTGAAATATCCTTTCCTTTGAGCCTTGGGCAGTTGACACGTAACCAGTGGAGGTTCGTTCGTAGGGGTACTTAGGGCAGCGCCCCACCAAATAATTGTTGTCAAAATAGTAAAAAAATAAATCTATTGCCAGTTGTAAAATAATGAATTACTTTGTTTCCTTTTGGCAAAATGCTAACTTGCAAATTTCCATTATAAATGGTAAACATACACCATACAGTACTGCAATGCTATAATTTCCCCTCCCCTTCTTCTACTACAGTGATGACTGATTAACTGATAATGAATGTTGGCTGTCTGGATAAGCTGTTGAGGGCAACTGGACATATATAGAATTTAGGTAATTCTTGCAATCTGTTCAATCTGAGAGTACCTCAGACATGCTCAATATGACCCTAGAGGTGAGTTTTGAAGTGCCCCATTTAACCCCAAGCAGGGGGCATCTGAATTGGACACACAGTATATGATAGCTCAAAAGTCTTAAAATCTCAAGGGAAACCATTCTTTATGAGATACCCTAAGCCTAGAGCTGTAGGGGAAAGAGCTTGTAATGTCAATGTGCAATCCCTACCTTGGTAGTTTTTTTTTTTTCTCATTCTGTTCACATCAGATGTAGGGATTGTGATTTTAATCCCTGCACTGTGATTTGTACTGCTCGTGTTTCCACTCATGTCATGCAGGTATCAAATGTAATCAATAATAATATATTTAATAAATGTCCTTATTGAAAATTGGACAAACTACATTAATTTCACTTACTGAGTTTCTGCAGAGTGAACATGCAAAATTGAATATGTTTACTACGTGATGTGTTGATCCATGTAAAATATTGTATTCACTACCTGTAATATCTGAATCAATATTTGTTTTTATCTGATTTAGCCAAAAGTAATAATAAAATTTAAAAAAGCATACGCAACAGGAATCAAACCCAGATTCATAAGCACAAAACAAGGAAACCTTATCAACTAGGCCAGGGGTCAGCAACCTATGGCACTCAAGGTTGTTTGGCTCTGGTCTACCAGGAGTCCAAGTGGAAGTTCAGTAAAATCCGAGCGGTGATTGCAGGTGGTGAGGGATAATACTCTATTTACGCATTGCAACAGATCTTAGATCACTTCCTCTAAGTATAGCCTGCAGCAGCTATTGCATCTATTCCCGTTGACCTGTACTTGGCCAGCCCGGTACCCACTGGACCCCAGTGAAGTCAACCACACTGCTAGATAGACACAGAGCTGCTGAAAAGGCCTTCTTTTCATACAAATAATACGAACAGTCCACACACAAACAGACACACAATCCCCACAAACACAACACCACTGGCAATACACATACATGCATACAACTCCACAAGCAAATTCTCACCTGCCATACACAAGCAGCACAGCATCACAAGCAGCCCCACACATAACACACACCACCAAATACAGAATGTCATACAGAGACACAATTCCACAAGCAGCCCTCATACACAGCATACGTTCATAGGTATCATGCATAATACCACAAACTACTCATGAACATATACAATATATACACACAAATACAATGCTACAAAGCAACCGCAACACTTAGAAATAACACAAGCACAATATGGCAACATACACACCTCAATTTAAAGAAAAAAAAACAGGACTGGCACGCCAAAGGACTTCTTGATCTTGTTTTGGTACAGTAAAACAAAAAGGTTGCCTACCCCTGAACTAGGCTATTTAGGAAGAAATAAGTTAGCAGAGCTTAGTTTTAATACTAGCAATGTGTGTCTGCTGTTATGTGTCATCCAACAGGAACACTGTGTGCCTTCCAGAAATGTCTCCCTCCTTTCAGCTTTGTGTGTGTCTGATAAAAATATATTCCTCAAACCCCAGCATTGTGTGCTGGTAGAACTATTCCCCCAGACCCACCACACTGTGTATGTCTGTTGAAGCATGCTGCCAGACTATCCCATGTTTCCAGGTACAGTACTATTATTGGATTGCTCTGTATCCTCAAGTTTTCTTTTATATATTTGATCCTTTTTCTGTGATGATAATTGTAATATTTTCATATTTTAGCATATTTTATTGTATCAGAGCAGAAATAGTGCAAATCACTAGCCTAAGCAATTGCATGCACATTAAGCAATACATAATTATATGTGAAGTGTACCTCCTTTTAGGAGGAATGTGTGTCCAATAAGGTGCTAAAGTCAGAAATAAATGTAAATTACAGCATCTCATACATAATTATATGTTTTATCTATTTTAGTGTTACACAAAATTGTGTGCAGGTCATAGCTCCTACACTCAAAGGGTTAAACTAATAAAGGTTTTTTTTTTTTACAGCAAGTTTGACATTCACTGTGTCCGATATTTCAGGAGGTGGGGTTTCCATAGAGAGGAGGTGGATTTAGATTAGGTAGGTGAAGCCCCACCATCCTTAAACGTTGTCCAGCTGGTGACCATTACCATAATCTGCTCAACAGAATATGATTAAAATAGCCAGGAAAGTTAATTAAGTATTAATGACTAAAAAATAATTAAGCAGTCATGAACATATCTTAACTAATGACATCATTTTTCCCCAAATCGTTAATACTTAATTAATCAATTGACAGGTCAATTTTATATTGAGGCATTTAGTTAAACTGCATACATGTGTGACATTTACAGACAGCGATTTCTGAATGATAAACAAGACAGGCATGACATAACATGAATTGAGCCACAATTATACAATTTAGTACTATGTAGCATGTCGCACAGCGAAAAAAAGCATAGCCACATAGAGGTGACCTTGTCAGACACTGATGCGTAAATGATAGGTATAACGAGTCTGACTTATCTTGAATTAAGCTACGATTATGCAATGAATAGAGTATTATCTAGCATGTCACACAATGAACTTGTAGGCCTCATTTTAATTTAAAAGGAAACTCCAGTGCCAGGAAAACAATCCGTTTTCCTGGCACTGCAGATCCCCTTTTCCTCCAACCCCCCAATCACCGGTTGATGAAGGGGTGAAAACGCATTAGCGCTCCCGATAGGAAAGCATTGAAAATGCATTTAAATGCTTTCCTATGGGGAAATGAGCGACGCTGGAGGTCCTCACACAGTGTGAGGATGTCCAGCGACGCTCTAGCACAGGTTTCCTGTGCTAGAAACCAGGAAGTGCCTAGTAGACAGCCACTAGAGGTGGAGTTAACCCTGCAATGTAATTATTGCAGTTTATAAAAAACTGCAATAATTTCAGTTGCAGGGCTAAGAGTAGTGAGAGTTGGCACCCAGACCACTCCAATGGGCAGAAGTGGTCTGGGTACCTGGAGTGTCCCTTTAAAGTAAAGAAATTAAACTAGCAAGGAATCAACGGCCAAAAATGGTAAATCAGGATGTGAAAAGACAAAATAATGAATAATGTTTAGCCATATCTTGAGCAGAAAAATAAAGGTGAACCCCCCAGCCAGTGGTGTATTCTGGTTTTGTGCTTCTCCAGGCATGACAAAACTACATCCCCCCACCGCATTCAAAATTTTGCTTCCTGTTCAAAACCAACACACTCTTTGTCTGACAGACACACTGATGCATACACTGACATACACTCACTGACAGATACACAGTCATTGTCACACACACTGTTTAACCAACACACACTCACTCATTCATAGTTACACTCACTCACAGTTACACACACTAACTGACAGAAACACACACTCACATTCACCGACACACACATCCAACGACAGACACACACATTCACCAACAAACACACATACACACTAACTGATAGATGTGCATTCACTGACAGATACACATACACTCTCACTGACAAGACACATACACTGTCACTGACAGACGCACACTCACTGTGACACACATATACTCACTGACAGACACACACTGACAAACACACATACACACTGACTGACATATATACACTCAGTGTCAGACACACATATTCACTAACAGACATACACATTGACTGACAGGCACACAAACTCACTGGCAGACACACACTCTCGGTGACAGACACACATACATACACTGATACACACTCTCAGTGACAGACATACACATTCACTGACAAACACACACTCTCACTGACACACACTGTCACTGACACACACACATACCCACTCACTAACAGACACACACATACACACACTAACAATTTTTTTTAATTTTTTTATTTACATCCACCCAGCCTCCAAACATTTGTTGGAGTGGATTCTCCATTTCCCTGGGGTCTAGTGGGGATCCTTTAATTGCCGGACTGACATGCAGTCGGTAAATTTAGGCGGCGTGGGAGCTCTGATCTCCCTGCTCAGCTCCCTTGCGTGTCTCTTAGTGATGCTGGGCCGGAGTGATGTCACATTCCGGCTCCAGCATCACTGTGGTGCACGTGAGGGAGCTGAGCAGGGAGAGCTCAGGGGAGAGTACTACTTCGCCACCTGCCTCCAACATCAGCAGATGCCAGCCTCTGGGGGACCTGAGGTGGCCAGCCAGGGTGTTTGGGGGGCAGCTTTTTTTGCTGCTTCCCTGAAAGTATCGCCCAAGGCAAATGCCTTGTCAGCCTTGTGCTTAATACATCGCTGCCCCTTGCAGGAGCTCACTAATTCAAGTATAGATTTATATTATACTCTCAGCATACATGCAACAGCATCAAGCACTAATACGTAAAATGGAATAAAATAAAGTGATAAATAATCGACTCTGCAGCGGTGTAAAGGATTTGAAATTTAACATCTTGAGCAAGAGGGTGAGAATGCCCACCAGAGAGTCAAAGTCAGCCAATGTAGACACTGCAATAGGCCTCCATGCGTGGCGTTAAGAACGGATTGGCCGTATATGCACCACATCTCCCCCTGCCAGCTCCAGACAGTTAGGAGAACCTTGGCGCAGTATCCACTGACCCATATAACGGGGGCAAAATCCTAGGCAGGAGCCTGTTGAGGGAAGTTCTCCTGGGTGTGATGACAGTGTTCAGGGTAAAGCCCCTTCTGGGTTCCCGGCCCAGAATTTGTGGGCCAGAGAGCAGCATAGCCAGGGATCCGCTGCTAAGCAGGTACGTTGGCTTGTGTCACGTCTGGAAACAGAGCCAAAAGTTTGCACAGACTTGATCAAATTTTGAACAGAAGGTCTTCCACCATCTCTCTAGCAGATCTGCCACTGACCCCTGTGAAAGCATGAGGTCCACCTCCATCTTGAGACATTCAGCACACTGTCTGAGTAGAGTGAGCCAGAGTATAGGTGAGTGTTGGCTACAGTATAGGTGTAGACCAGGCTAACACCCACCAGTCCAAAGGGGCTAGGATATGGGACAGGTTCAGCCCGTGGAATTCCACTGAGGAGGTTGGCCTTCACTCCCAGTTCACACACAATCACACAGAATCGGAGCTCTGCTGTAGCGAGTCACTTAATAGGTGCCCAAGGTTTCCTAGACAAAGCTAGGTAACTTCAGAAGTCATTTCCAAATGTACTTTTAGAAGGAGTTGGGGGCGATTTAGGTGAAGGTCCTCTTTCTGTGCATCTGCTCATCATGGTGGTCAAGTCTCCCATGTCTGTCTCTTTTTAACAACATAAATATAATTTTTTATATATTTATATATATGTGTACATGTATATAACTTATTGTGCCACAATGGTTTATTGTTATTTGTTTATATAGTACCAACAGATTCCTCATCATTGTATGGTGAGCAGGGCCATATTTACATAGGGCTGATGTAGCTGAAGCTCCAGGCCCATGCTCATTGAATAGACTCACTGATAAAAAAATAAATTAAAAAAATTGAAACTACTCTTTACATGCTCTTGCTTGGTATAGAAAGAATTAAGTATGGAACAAAACTTGTGTGGACTGGCTGACTATAAATTAGTTAAGGTAAAGCTAATGCAAATGTACTTGCTGCTTCGGTCTCTATAGCACTGTGGCTTGTACCCTTTATTATAAACTCACAACATACTCCTTTTCTCTGTCCCAGACTGCATACCAGGAGCATTTGGCTGCTAGTAAGAAGGTAAGGAGAGGACTGGGCAAGTGAGTGCTAGGTAACAGTCCTGAGAAAGCATAGTGTGAGCGCATCATTAGATGCATTTGCGCCAAGTTCAGGGTACCGTCTGCATAGTACAAATACCTGTTGTTAGGGGGTATGGATTTGGTTGAGAGATGAAAGCGAGTTATCATCATGGGGTATGTGTTATCTTATAGCTGCATCATGTGAGTTTCCTCTAGCACCATCTCCATCATTAATTCAGTTCTGAAGGTGAACAAAGCAAGCAAAGTGGTGATATCTTGAAAACATAGAAACAGGTGGTATTGTGAACATTGCTGACTTGAGGACACAAAACTATTGGGTCTGTTTACTAAACTCTATATGTTGTCCAAATGGACAAAATTTGGTAAAAAATAAAAAATTCTAACCAGGTTGGCATTTCTCATACTTACTATAGTCATTATGTTGTTCTGTCATCCTGACTAAATCTACATCATTTGGCCAGATGCATCTGATGTCAGCTTTAAAATCAGTACTTTCACATACAAACTGTATAGGTTACAGACATTTACAAAACACAGATATTAAAAAATTGGGACTGAATGCATCTGCTCGTAAAAAAAAAATGTTGCACCATTCCTCACTGGTGTTGGCTCGGGAGGTACATTAATATATCCTCTTCATCCCCCACCCATCTTGAACTGCCAGTGTGCAAATAGTTTGAAAATTTACAATCTGGGCCAGAATGTCAACTGTCCAGCAGTGTTTGGTTGGACAGGCTAAACTCCAGACACTATTCTGGTTCGTTTGAAGATAGAAGTTTGAAATATGGACAATGTTAAATAGTGTGATGTTCACTGAACAAAGTCCTGATTCTGTTGTCTGAATGTCCCAGTACAGAGCCGGGTGGTTTGCAGCATTTGCCAACATTTGGGCCATTCGAAAATTAGTATCGACTCATGGAACTTCCAGGCTTGCGTGCTTTTAAAGTCTAATTAGTAACTCAGGAGTTCAAATTTTAAGCCCTGATTTAATGACAATCAGCAAGTCATGAAGTCACCTTAACGTATTCCAGAACTGGTTCACCTATTGTCAATTTGCATCCTAAAAAAACTGTGCAGAGTACAGTGCAGTTTGTATTTTTCAAAGCAGTCCTATAATTTTCTGTAACCACTGTAAGGGGATGTCTTGGCTCTTTATTATATTACCAAGACTCTTTTTCCACTTGTGGAATCCATTTGTGCCTTTTGCCTTCTAGCAGTTGTTGGTCTACATTACAGTTCCCAAGATTAGTATAATCTGGAGGGCCAAATTTGGAGACCCTTTGCTCGATATTAACCATGCATTATTTGGCTATCATGCCATAGCCAAAACGGCTAGGGTTAACATCCAACACTTTTATAACTTCTGTGGAAATCAATTAAGGACGATTCTCCAAAGCTAGCCTTAAATAACTAGCTGTCAGCAGCTGGGATAGGAAATTAATATTTTTGCTTATCAGGTGGCTAGCTATAAATCATTAAACATCAGAGGACTGCCATTCGAGTGGGTCATTAGTGTGCATAAATAAACAGTTGCCTTACTCTGACTCCTGGGTGGGAAAACTACTCAAAAATGTAGATTTACTTCATATATATTATCTTAAAATTATGTAAATACATACTCAGATGAACAACTACACATGACATACTAGACAGTGCCATGATTTATTTAACACAAAGCCATGTGTAAAAACCTAAGTATACCCTTACTGCTTCCATAGGAATTAAGAGGCTCAGTAGCAGACTGGTGCTGCTAATCAAATGCCCTTGATTAATTGATCATCAGCAAGTGTGACCAACTCTATAAAAGCTGAAGTTTTATGAAGTTTGCTGGTGTGCACCATTCAGGTGTGTGTTAACACAGTGACAAGGAGAAATGGCATCAGTAATGATCTTAGAGAAGCAATTGTCAAACTGGGTAGGGTTCTAAGGCCATTTACAAACAATTTAAATCCATCTGGAAAGATTATTTAAATGTGGCTAACATTCAAAACAGTTGCAAATCTTCCAATGAGTGGACGTCTGAGCAAATTCACTCTCAGGACAGAGACCATGGAATGCTCAGAGAAATTGCAAAAAGAAGAGTTATCGCTCAGGCCTCAGATAAAATGCTAAATTTTAAAGTTCATGACAGTACAAATAGATAAAGACTGAACAAGAATGGTTTATTTAGAAGGGTTGCCAGGAGAAAGCCTCTTCTCTCTAAAAAGAACATGGCAGCACAGCTTAGGTTGAAGTTGCATCTGAACAAACCGCAATACTTCTGAAACAATGTCCTTTGGACAGACAAGACCAAAGTTAAGATGAAACACAGCATATCAGCACAAACACCTCATACCATGTGTCAAGCTCTGTGGTGGAGGGGTGATGATTTGGGCTTGTTTTGCATCCACAAGACCTGGGAACCTTGCAAATCCTTGCTGCACACAAATTTCTATGTAGGACCATATGTTCTTACTTCATATGACAGGAATTATGTCACTATACGACCTTCACCTGGGGCAGGAGAGAGATACGCCATTCACAGAATGCATCAGGCAGGGGTTCCCTGAGTTCCCTAATGTAATACAACATTCTACAGAAGTTTTCAGGCCCATTCGCTTTGGTTTCCTTCATAATAAAATAAATTAAACTTCTTGTGTAAGTTAATAAAGGCTTTCTCTTTGAAAAGGTTTGTTATGTATGTATCTCTCCTAGCATTGCTATATATCATGTTGTTTGAATTTTGTTATTACAAAAAAAATAAAAAAAATACACCTGGCACTCTATGAAGAAATCAGGATATCTATGAAAATGAAATTAATTATTGGATATGCCCGAGAATGGGTATTGGGAAAGTTAAGTTACTAGTGAGTGTGGTATCCTAAAACTGGCTGGGGAAAGGAGAATGAGGATCACAAATTGGCTTTGATGCTACATAAATCGGAGGCTTTGGATGAAAGAGTGATATTTGGTACCTACAATTTAATTTAAAGGAAAGAGGCGGAAACTGCAACTGAATATTAATGGGAAAATGGAGACCCGGAATTGACTTGATTATGAAAGTTAATATCTAAAAATTACTGAGGATGATAGAGTGTGGAATAAGGATTAACTGGAATGTAAGAGCGGGGACAGTAAATTAATAGAAAAAGGGGTGGAATCCAAATCATTACTAGAATAGAAGGTTGAGTGGTAATATGAGTGGGAAGATATGGGGATATGAGAGTGAATATGAGGGACATGAAAAATCTTTAGAGTCAAATTAGGCTGCGGTAAAGGGGGTTTGGATTAAGTAAAATCATTTTTTAAAGTTTTTAAATAATACACAGAACAAGTAGAAATGCTGATTGCAGGTGTTATTTATATATGTTTAATAGTATGTTTTAGATCTTACTTCAGACAGGTAGACTCCAGGACTAAGAGGGACAGTCTGATGTAAACTAACAGGGCATGCAGCTAAAGAAAGATAAATCTGTAATTAATTACTAAGTAAACTTTAAAACATAGTCTTTTGATCTCAGAAGCTGGTAATTAACCCTTTCACCTTGAATGAACAGCATAAACTGGAAAACCCATGATCAATGTCAACACAATGGAAACGCCTACATAATGTGGCATAGACTGCACTTGTATAAGTAATGTCATGGATTTGTAATCCCTAAACGTCTCACCTGTCTAGAATACATGTACAAACCAAATTATCAAACTGATTAATGTGGAAAATGAACAAAGTTGCTGAATGGCAGGTTCTCCATATGATATTGATTTAACTATTAGTTTGCGTAATTTTAATATTGTTGCCTTTTAATCTTGTTCAGTTTTGCCCTTTCTTGCTCTTTAAAGTGAACTTAAACATACAAATGAGGATATATATAAACGTGTAGATGCTATGTAGATCTGTTTGCTTCATTTGCATGTAACAGAAAAAATAGATTAAAACGGAACTTTGTATTATTCTTATCCAGGGTACTAAGGATTCTGGGAGATCAGGGGGGTGGGATAATTTAATTTTATATAAGATACAAGATGGATGTAGGCAAAGCTCAGCATCACTTCCCATACCCAGAGAAGACTGATTTGTTTGACACCCCCCCATTCTTCATATAGGGATGATTAACGTAGCCAAGAATATTGATGGTTCCACAGCCCTGTCAAACCCCTAGGCCCTAGTTATCTGCCTACATAGCTGTCCACAGGTGGATTCATGATTGGTGTATATTACTAGCAACTGGGCAGTAGTAGCTAACCATTCGCTAGTCTTTTACTACAGCAACTAGCCACTGGCTGCTTGTTATGTAGGAGACATGCCCCTACTCGCAACATTGTAAATGGGGGCATGGAGGAGGTGTACAACTTCCTTGTACAAATGTGGGGTTATAATGTGGGGTTTAAACTATTTGCAATAGCAGCCAGCAGGCAAATAGTTAACCCCAAATCCCATAGCAACCAAAAGGCTTGGCCATTGACTGTGCCAGTTGCTTCGGACTAGAGTATGTAGAAGATGTGAATTCCATTTTCAGCCCAAATTCTTCCGAATCGCAGTTCTTCAGAAACTGACTCCTAGTCTACTAAAAGATGCTAGCATGACAAAGCAGGCTTAAAGAGGATCTGTCACTTGTCTTGAATTTACACCATAGAATAAATAATTGAAAATCACCTATAACTTGTGTTAATATGTTTCATGAGATGCTCCATTTCTTTCAAATTTATATTAAAGATTTAGCAAATTACATCATAATCCAGCTCACACATATCAAAGGCAGAGCAAACATTGCAAATTAAGAGGAAAAATTGAATTAATTTATTCTCTTCTCTGTATGCCTACTCCATGCTGACTGCCAGGTGCAAAGGACAGAGGTTATAACAATGGTCGACAGGGAGCTAAGATGGATGTGCCAATTTGCAGGGTAAAGATTTATGAATTTCTACATTTAATACTGAAAAGACTTTATGCACTTGGCATAATTGGAACCTAAGTGAAAAATGCATTAACGCATACAGGATATGGGAAGAAATGGACAAGGTTCAGTTGGAAGTGGGAAGAGATTTTGTTAGGTTTACCTTTGTGGTTCCTAAAACTGTTAAGGGTTTAGTTCAGTGTTTGTGGACAGTGTTTCTGCGTATTTCTAGAATTAATTAACCAAGTCCTTGTAGCATGAACTCTTAATATTAAAATATTAAGGGGAAGCATGAACCACGGTTTGGGAAGATTTACTCTGAACAAGTACCTAATCTAGCACTCAATCTTTTCTCTGAAATTATCGCTTGTGATTGTTTTCACTAAAATACAGTGTGAAATTGACACATATCCCTCAACAATTACGATTCTGTTAAATAAAACCAGGCTATTTAGATATGCCAGGCTTATTCCGTTAAACACTTTAAAGATGTCTTTATAGGATGTCTTATGTACCATCACCGTCTAATGTTAAATGAATAGTCATATTGTCCTATTGTGTTTTATACCCCACCTCTTCTAGACTGTAAGTTCGTTTGAGCAGGGTCCTCTTCAGCTTATTGTTCCTGTAAGTAGTCATAATTGTCTAGTTTATTTTTAAATCCCCCCTCTTATATTATTGTAAAGCACTACGGAATTTGTTGGCGCTATATAAATGCCAATAATAATAATATTGATCTGCAAGGGTGTTCCAGAAGTCATTATGTTTCTAGAAGAATTAGCCATCTTGCACTCTGTGATGGATCAATATTCTTAAAGGGACACTCCACTGCCCCCTTTCACTACCCCCCCAAAAATTGTAATAAATAATAATTTATGGAAATATCTCCAGTGAGATCATGCATCCATTTAATGGTGCATTTTGACAAAAAGCCAGATCTCTTGTCTGCTGACTTTTCAAACCCCCCCTCTTTTATCCCCACCTAGACTTTCTGTGACTGTCCAATCACAGACTTCCCAATACAGCTCAATGAGATGTCTTTGCAAGGCAGGTGCTCTGGGCAATTGCAGTCTCTTAACCTCTTCCTGACCAAAGACAGAGATTTTCTCGGTATTCAAGGCAGACCGGGAGCACCCCAATCGCGCTGTCCCTGCACCTGTGATCGCTCTGACGGGCTGTTTTGTTGTTTGTTTGTTTTTTTAACCCTTGAGGGGTTAAATTTATTTTATTAATAAATTTAAATATTTTAAAATGATGTATTTAGCTAGCTGGGGTGGGTGGAAGTTAGTGGGTAATTGGGGAATTTGGTTTTAGGCTAGCTAGGGGTTAACGTTAAAAACATTTTTAAAAAAGCTTTAAAAAGTAAAAAAAAGTTTAATAATTTTTTTAATAACATTTAAAAAAAGTTAAAAAAAATCCCACCCCCTTTTACCCAGTCCGAATAAAAATGAACCCCTTCCCTGCCAGTTGATCACTGCCTACGGTGATCAAAATACAGATTACAGTATTATACACAGTATTATTAACCCCTGAGGACTAACTTTTATTTATTTTTTAACCCTTAGGGGTTCATTTTATTTCATTAATTAATTTAAATATTTTAAAATTATATATTTTGCTAGCTGGGGTGGGTGGGAGTTATGGGAAATTAGGGAATTTACTGTTAGTGCTGCTTACTGCTAGCTAGGGGTTAACGGTAAGAAAAGTTTATACAAAAATTTCAAAGTGTAAAAAAAGTTAAGAAAGTTTAAAAAAATATAATAAGTAAAAAAGTTTAAAAACTAGTTTTAAAAAGTAAAAAAAGTTTTAAAAAGTAAAATAAAATACATTAAAAAATGCTTATTACTACTACACCTGGAACAAACTAGATAAAAAATGATCCCACGCTAAGGTTCAAAATATGTCTTTTGAATTACCATGGGTTGTATTCTTTAATAAATAGTATGTGTTTGTGGAGAAATTTGAATAATCAACCAGCTAAACTATTCCAAAATGGAACATGGACACAGCGTAAAACTTCAAAGTTAGAAAAAAACTGAAGGGCTGCGTCTCAAATGTGCCCCTTCAACATCCACATATACCTGGCAAAGGTACATATGGGGGTATTGCTGTACTCAGATGACATAGCTGAGCAACATATGAAGTATTATACAGTCGTAGCACACATAAGGTTTGCAAAATATACTGTGCTCACTTTGTGGGTCAAAAAGGAAGAAAAAATGCTTATTACCACTACACTTGGTACAAGCTAGCGGAAAAATTATCCCACGCTAAGGTTCAAAATGCTCAAGTGCTTCAAAGTGGGACATGGATGCATCAAAACCCTCCATGAAAATTCACACTTAAAAACCTGAACTTGTCACGTCTCTTTTACAGCACTTTAACTTCACAAAATAGTATCTAGGTCATACATTGGGCATATTGTTTTACTCAGAAGATGTAACTAGGCATAATTTGGAGGGTTTTATGACAGTGGTACAAATCAAGTGTAAGAAATACCCAGCAAAAATGCAGCATATATGTAAAAATGCAATTTTTTTCCCCCTCACCACAAACATTGACATAAATTGGTGAAAAATGGTGACAAGTTAAGGCACAATATACACCATATAAGATACCCTGGGGTGTCTGCTTTATCAAATGAAAGCCCTTTGTGGGGTTATTTGAACAGTCGCACTGCTATAATACCCTAAAATGAGACATAGGCCTGTCAAATCCATCTATGAAAATTCTAACTATAGGCCTTGTCTCTCATATGGCACTGTAGCTTCACAGAATAGTGCCAAAGGCATACAATAGGGGTATCGTTATACTCAGAAGATGTAGCTGAACACAATATTGGGTGCAGGAATAGCACACACCAGCGTTACAAAATACTTATTACAAAAACCTTGTTATATGTGTATATGCCAAACTAGAGAAAAAAAATCAATTTTACTCCAATATTTAGCAGAGATTGGCGATGAAATGGCTACGTAAAAAGTGTCAAACTAACCATAGGTAAATAGCCTGTGATGTCTACTTTATATAAATATATACCTTTCTGTGGCTTTTTTTTTTCTGTGGTGGCTACTAAACCTATAAGACAAACATACCAACTTCTAGAATTGTTTCATATTAAAATTTTATTTTAGGCCTTGTATTTTGTGACCTGTAACTTTCAAAATAAGTTGAAACCCTCTACATATTATGTAGTCTATAAATCAAGACACATAAATGAATTTATTTTGAATTACTTTTTCTAAGCTGGACATTTTATGCACACGCTATTATTGCCAAAACTGTGAATTTTTTTATTTTGTTTTTTTTTTGCCCCCCTTTATTGCCATTTTTTTAATATAATTAATGAGAATTCATCTATGTATATGTGACATAAAATTAAAGCCCTCTTTTCTCTCTAAAAAACGGTATATGATATGTGTTGGTGCAATAAATGGCAGAGATTGTGTTTGAACACAAACAGCAAAAAATGCAAAAATGGCTTGTGTCCTTAAGGGTAAGACAAGCTTTTGAAGCTGTGTCCTTAAGGGGTTAAGTTTAGTTCCACTGAGCTAAACAAACTAGGAAGTAACATGACCCGGTGTCTGCTTGGCATCCAGGCAGTGTAATATGGTTAATTTATAAAATTGCCAATTTATGTTTAAATCTGCACTTTTTGTAAAATAAAATAAAAGGACACACTCTTTTTACATGCCTCCTTTAAGGAGGCACTTTCATGTTTTGTTTTTTCCTAATGCCACTTGTATCTGATTATACTCTGCCATTGCCAGTTGCCTCTATTTACATATACTGTCTTTTCTTGCCTATTATGGAAATCAATATCTAAGCACTTTTTATCCTCATTTGTCTATGGTTTCCCATGTGGGATTGCTTTAAAGTGATGGATTGTGAATAGATTAGCATAGCAATTGAAAAACTTTGCTTAAGCCCTGCCAATTTCTGAACATTGACAAAGATCGGGATCCACAGAAGAAAACGGAGTCCCTACATTTTCCTATATATAATTTAAAAACTAAGGTTAATTTAAAAAAATTCAAATATGGCGAAAAAGCCCAAAATCTGCAAACTGACAAAGATACTTTAAGTGTTGAAAATATAACTCACCGATGGCAATAAAAAAACTCACATTTAGTAAAAGACACACACAATTAAATGTACCTTAGTCCTGAAAGAGGCACATTACTGCTTTCCGTACTGTGTGACAAATTCTTTCCTTAAAAGTGTAAAAACCAATGTTGTGTTAGCAAATACATCTCTACAGGTTGTTATCTGTAAGGCAAGTATCAGTAATATAGTGAAATCAAATTGTGACAAGATATGCCATTGAAGTTAAAGCCTTATATTAAGTATATAGTCAACTTGCAGAGCACAAATATATTTTTACAATGTAGTCGATTGCCTGAGATGTAGAGACTGAATAAAACAATTTTACATATTTTCTCTAGGAAAAACCAGAACAAAAGATAAATACCGCGTGGTGTACACAGATCATCAGCGCCTAGAACTGGAGAAGGAATTTCACTATAGTCGCTACATTACAATCCGCAGAAAAGCAGAGCTGGCAGCCACATTGGCATTAACAGAACGACAGGTAACCGAATGCCATCATATGCCATGACAAATCCCAAAATGTATATCAGATACATAACTGTCTGAGATTATTATTCTATTTAAATTTCCTAGTCTCTACTGAAAAGAAAGGTTTACACATGCAGTAATTACTATCCTTGGCACTGCAGATGCATACTGAGCATCATGGGAAATGTAGTTACTAACCATTTGCAGTGGCACTGTATGTTACCATATGGTGTTTATTACAGACTACGCTTTCATGTAATTATTGATCTTAGTGTTGATGTTGATAGTATGTGTGGCAAATGTATGAATTCTTCACACTTGAAAAGTAGGGCTTATCTATATTCAAATAAGATCTTGTATTTACTATTATTGTATACTATAACTATATATTAAGATGTACACCTTTTGATAAAGGAACTGTACATATTCATGTAACAATACGTGTTGATAAGAACAAATGATCAGTACATGGCCGTTAACAGTAATGTTAAGAAAGATGCAGCTAAAGTAGAGCTTTAGAATGAGGAGAGGATAAGGTTAGCTCTGGTAGTTGGCTAGGTTTGGGAGAGTCTATAACATTAGGGGAATTTAGAGTACAGGGCTTAGGGTTATTGGGTACTTGTTGTGGACTGTAGCTTCCTTTATTCTTATCCATACCAAGCTGAGCCCTTGTAGCCTCCCAATCCTTACGCCTTTCACATTGTATCAACCCTAAACCTGCAGCACAGGGTACACTGCTGCATCCCTTCCCATTGGCTATTTGTAAAGCTGACATTTTAATGTGAATTATAATTTGGTCAAATAGGAAGGAGTCATGTATGTAAAAATCAACTGAACCAGGTAATGAGGTCTGCCGATTTATCTAAGCTCATTCTTTATCAACAAGTTTGCTTACTTTTCCCATGATGCCCATGTTAGTCCTTTTTCCCCCTACAAAAAATCTTGGTAAGCAAATTATTATTGACTAAGGGTATACCGACTGACTGAAATATACAAATACAGGAAACAAAGTAAAAACAAGAAAATTTAAAATATAGAAAAAGAAACAATAAAGTTGAAAAAAATGCTACATTTATTGTTTTATCATATCTGTAAAAGATGTTGTTCACTTCACAGGTAAAAATCTGGTTCCAAAACAGAAGAGCAAAAGAGAGGAAAGTAAACAAGAAAAAAATGCAACAACAAAGTCAACAGGCAAGCACCACAACACCGACACCTCCTGCTGTAGGAACCACTGGTGTGATGGGGGGAATTTGCTCCAGCAGTAGTAGCAACAGCAACCTTGTATCACCGTCGGCAATGACTATCAAGGAGGAATATCTTCCTTAAGAGCATCAATTGAGTGTTAATATGACCTTCATATTAAATACATCTCACCAGTCTATCCAGAATGGACCATACCATCCTTAGATTTCTGAAGGGGTAACTGTTATAAAGGTGACGGCAGCATTTTTTTTTAAGGGATTAGCAGATCTATCCATTTTTCTGGAAATGAAGCCACATCAGAACTGGTGATACAACAGGAATCTCTCTCTTGATAGAGAAAAAGTTTGCTTTACGGACACTAATTGGACTCTGTATTACGTGATGTGTGTTATTGTATATTTAAAATGAAAGTTGAAATCTAGAGATATTTTACATGCAGTGGGATATTTGTATTTTAAATAATCACTATTTTTTTCTTTATACTTTTTTCTAGTATGTCATCTTTATGATGAGTTGAATTAATTGACCTCTTGGTTAAAGAACGTAGTAGGCAAGTTCACTTTTTATGTAAATTAATCTTATATCTCCATTACAAATAACGCAATACCCCCCCCCCCCCAACCAACAACAAAAAATATATATTTTTTTACTGCCTGCAACATAAGTGTTGAAGTTCTTTACAGGAAGGTCTATTCCGATGTTACCATGAAACTATTTAAGTGCAGGATGTGGATGTAGGTAGCCTTAGCCAGCACTAGAAACATTTGTATTATTATTAGCCCTGCTTGTATATGAAATGAACACAGAATTTATATTATCTTTTTTTTTTTTTAATGTATACACTGGTGGTCTATAGCCTATTACATAATATCTAGCCCCTGTAGATAGTCGGGTACATGAGTCGACTTTGTCCTAGGCAGGCATTGAAATAATTTCCATTAATTTTCCCTAAATAATATTCATGGTCATCATTTACCAGGCTTAGCCTTGTCAGGTTCCACAGTCTTTCAAACTTAAAAAAAAAAAAAAAAGATTCCACCCTTACGTGGGATATGTTCTAAAGGAACAGTGTGGTTTTTTGTTGAGGATCTTGAGATAAATTAGATGTTTTCATATGTTACTGTATGGTTTTATGACATACACTTATTCATTTTCACCACACTGAACAAATGACATGATGTATCAAGACGTGGCAAGATGTATCAAGGCAAGACTGTTGCTATTCTGGGTGTAAAGTGCTAAGTGAGGAAATACACACTATTCCATAAAAGCTCCTGTTTTTACCTTTGCAGACTACCACACACATTTCTCTTTGCTATGGGAGGATAAACCCCAACAACAAAAAAACAACAGGAATACATTTATTTTCCATGTTTTATGAGCACTGGTTGTTTTAAGAGTCTAGGTTTTACTGCTCTGGTTGTAGCTAAATGTATCTAATCCCATCAAATCATCTTCACTTCAGAATGCCCACACACAATGTACATAATATATGTCATACGGGTGTAGCTTGTAGAAGTGCATATTTATGTCTGTGTAAATGTATGTGTTTCTCTGCACATATATACGAGTGGAATTCTTGCAATTGGACCAATATTTTTGATGTGTTGCAGCCGGCAGGAGAGCAGGGGAAGGAGTATATAATTATGTGTTGGTTGAATGGCTGGCTAACCCATTGGGATGGCAGGGTTGACAGAGACATTTCTGCAATCCTTCATACCCTCCTATGTCTGTGTGTGCCCATGGGGAAACATTAAATGTGGCCAGCTTTACATAAAAGGGATGGTACTACTATATAGTAAGATAGACTACTCAGCATGGTAAAGTCAATGGTTGTTGTTGTAAGAAGCAGAAGTTTCACAGTCTGTGTACTATGGGTCCACAAATTCACCAATGACCTCTGTCACGAGATGCTGTTTATATGGTGCCACACTATACAACACCCTTAAAGTGCATCACCTCATAATAACAGCACAGAATTTTTTGTAATTTTGGTAATGGTAAGGTACTATGCACAAAAGAGGCATAGCAATGTAATATGCATATATTCCACTGTATTAAGAAGCAGCAGACCAATAAATGCAAATTAATGATATTGTTTTAAAAAGTAATGTCAGTGTCCTGCTGCCCTGGTTATAACAAGCCTAGTCAGCCTACTGGTAAATATGCTCCCGGTAATAGGTTATTTCTCTCAAACAGTTTACCTATTGTATCCTATTTTGGTGGATATATTTTTGTTTTGTCCAATTCAATTGTAGATACCAGTTTGCAATGGCAATGGACATGCACATTGAATGGTGGTCAATCACTGCCATTACACACAGTATGTTCAGGGATCTCAGACTGATCTAATTAAAAATGACAAAGAGATATATTAAAATATTTTATAATTATTTTCAAGATTAAGAATATTTTTCATCTTTTTTGAGCAATTGTGAGAAATAATTTTCCTTTAAATGTGTGGGCAGTATACGTTAAATCAGTGGTACTCCATCTATACAGCAAAGCATGTAAATTAAATTATTGTTACCACCAGGGAAGCAGAGTGGAGTAAATCCTAAAACTAGAATAACTGGTGGCACTTGAAGAATGGTTAGAGAACTATTATTTTAACTATTCTTCATTAGAAAGGGTAAGTGCATGTGCATGTATGTGCATGATGCCGTGAAATAGAAAGGCATCTGCATTCCATTTTTCTGGCCATATTACCCAGTAGACTTGTGCACGCATTTTTGCGCCATTTGGTTCACAAGTCAGATGAGAAAAGTGAGCAATAGAGGGAAAAAAGAGGATAAGCAGTAAAAACACTATATATTTACATATTATATACTTAATACATATATATAAAATAATTTTTACTGTTCTTCCGTCTTTTGGCCACATCTCACTTGATCTGTAAATAAAATCAACAATTAGTGGCTGTCCCCTAGCCATCAATTATCTTATTTCGAATCATCTATTTTTTGGGACAACGTGCGGAACTTTGAATCACGAATTAAAAGGACATGCTCATCCATTTAGTGAGTTGTTTGGCTATATGTCCACATGGCACTTCAGAGTTATGGCATTTAGACATCCTGCCAATCAGCCTATAGTCAGACTAACTCAAGTTCATGTGAAACTGAATGCACTATTCTAGTCTATTATTATTAGATCTCTACTACAAATACATTGATTGTTACATGAAGAAGCTTAGAAGCTGGTCTCACTGGCTCAATGTTTTGTATTTTTTTTTTTAATTAAAGTAAACAGGTTAACATCATTGCAGTAAATCCATGATTGTTTCTCTTCACTATTAAAGGGACACTATAGTCACCAGAACAACTACAGCGTATTGTATTAGTTCTGGTGAGTATAATCATTCCATTTAGGCCTTTTGAAGTAAACACTGTTTTTTCAGAAAAAAAATGCAGTGTTTACATTACAGCCCAGGGACTCTCCACTGGTCACTCAACATATGGCTACTAGACTAGAGAATCTTTCTGGGCCAGTGCTACACAATGGGCAGCACTGATATTCAGTGTCTTCACCCTCTGCATGGAGACACTGAACTTTCCTCATATAGATGCATTGATTCAATATATGTCTATTAGGAGATGTTGATTGGCCAGGCTGTGTTTGGCTTGTGCTGGATCTGCCTCCTTGACAAGCTCAGCCAATAAAATGCTTTCCTACTTGAAAGCATTGTGATTTGCTCAGAATACCACTTCTGATGATGTCATCCAAGCAGGCAGATCGGGGGCAGAGCCAGCAGCAGCATACTGGAATAAAAGTACAATTTTATTATATTTAGGGGTGAAAGTCCATAATAATAATAATTCTACTCAATATGTTGTTCGAAATTTCTATTCTGCATGTACCGTGTTTCCCCGAAAATAAACCCTACCCCGAAAATAAGCCCTAGTCGGATTTTCGGGGTGGGCTGCAATATAAGCCCTACCCCGAAAATAAGACCTAGGCATTTTACCTTTGCGGCGAGACTTCCTTCTTCTACTGTAGGAGGAGCGTTGCGGGCCGCGGCATCGCGCAACGTGATGACGACATTTGCAGCGCCGTCAGTCTGCCTTCACGGATCTTCAGCGGAAGGATCCATTTCCGGGCGGTGAGGCACCCAGTGGTCGGACTCGGCAAGGAATCTTTGAAATGTGAGTACCGGTAGATATTTTATGTCTGGGACTGAATTAATTAAAGGGGGCGGGGGGTGAATTAATTAAAGGGGGGTGAATTAATTAAAGGGTGGGCTGGATTAATTAGAGGGGGGTGAATTAATTAAAGGGTGGGCTGGATTAATTAGAGGGGGTGAATTAATTAAAGGGGTGGTGAATTAATTAAAGGGTGGGCTGGATTAATTAGAGGGGGTGAATTAATTAAAGGGGTGGTGAATTAATTAAAGGGTGGGCTGGATTAATTAGAGGGGGGATTAATTGGATTAATTAAAAGGGGTGGATTAATTAGAGGGGGTGGATTTATTAAAGGGGGGGTGGATTAATTAGACAGTATGGTATTTTGATCCCCAGACAAGATGAGTGCAAAGAGAAAGAGCTGTACATACTGGTAACGTAAATAAATAAGCCCTACCCTGAAAATAAGCCCTAGTGTGTTTTTTGTGACTAAAATTAATATAAGACCCGGTCTTATTTTCGGAGAAACACGGTAGTAATATGCATAGGTTTAATTTTGTTAACTGGCAAATGCCACAAACCAAATTAATTTTGTAGATATATTTATTGTCTGAATATAGACAATATTACTTTTCATCTAGAAAAGTTCCATTTGAACATAAAATTAATAATTTTGTGATTATTTTGCTACCTTTTTTTAACCATGTTTGCAGTCACAGAATAAATATATTTATTTTATTTTTGTGTGTAAATCATTTAGCATTTAATATGTCTTATTTTTGTTTCATTCTGTAGTTTTGGCACATATATTTGTATAACAGAAAAAATATATATGCATTAGTGCATAGGTTGTCAAACTAACTTTTATGTATAATCTACAGTCAAATTTATTTTTCTAATCGACAATAAATGGTCATTCTAATCCTCAAATAATAGTGATGGATGTTGGCCAATTTGGAATTGAATTTAAAATATAATCATTTTCTGCTTTAAAGCATACTCCAAGCACCATAACCATTACAGCATGCCATAGTGGTTATGGTACCAGGAGTGCCCTGGCTCCCTATCATTGTAAGTAGTTAAATTATTTAATTTAGACAAATCCTTTAAAACTCAGTAAATGCAGATTACTCGTGAATTTTATTAATTATTAATTCTTGTTCCTTATGGTCCACTCAATGGTCAATCTGTTGAATTTATACTAAAACATATTAATTTGACATATAGCCAGGTTATACTTTTAAGCACTTTTCCAAAAACCTTGCAATTTGTAAGTGTCTTACAGAAAAAAAAAAGCTATCTCTGCAACAGCGCATAAAAACCTTAATTTTTTTTTTTTTTTACTGATGTAACAAAATAATTAGATTTGGTGGTATTGGAGCATATTATTTGTTTTTTTTATGTTGTTTTTTTTGTTGTACCCCTTCTTTCTTTGTAATTTGGGTTTTCACTGTAGTGTATTAAATATGACCCCCAGATGAGGCTTTGTCATGTTGTTTGAAAGAATTATAATCATAATTCTGGAGAAAATTTAATATTTTAGCATTTATTTCTATAATAGGGTTTATTTATTAAACATGTATCTATTAATCAATAATCAAGAAAGTAATGCAGAGGTGAAGATAGGGAGCCTCTAGGTTTTATGCATCAAACTGGAGAATAAACTGTTTGGCTGGCTGAGATTTTTAAGGGATGCAATCCAAAAAAACTGGAAAATCGAGAAATCTAGTAATTTTATACATATATGTCAGTGCCAAAACTGTCCTGTGATATAAGGCTGTAGTTTAAATTTGTGTGCTAATATACTGTTTTTATTTCATTTGTAGCTTCTGATATTAATGTAACATAAAAGTCTCTGAAAGAGAGGCATAATGAGAAATATTGAAATATTGTTAATGGGAAGATGTTGAAATGTAGAGTGTCTTTTTTATATTGTATAAAACTTTCTTAATAAAAAAGTGAAATGTGCGCATATTACTTATTTAATGTGTACATTGTTGTGAGTTCCTATTCATGCCTTGGTAATAAAATCATTGAGCAAGATGGGGCCCTTTTCCTTTCTAATGCATTATAAAGATAACGATAATAAAATACAGAAAGAAATATAGGAAATAATAAAAAGATACTCATTTGAAGTTCAAGCATTTTCTACAATTCCTGTGCTGTGGTCTCATAAACCCAGACAGTGATCGCTGTGCAATTAAATTAGCACTGCTTTTTGGGTACAGCAAGGATTTCTGGGACTTGTAGTTCAATTGTCATCATAGAAAGATTGCACTGTTATGCCAAAATGGGGGAGTGTCCCAACGTGCTACATTAGGAAAGCGAGAAAAACATTATGTATTACTGGTCCTTAGAGGTAGCCGAGCATAACATTATTTATTTATTTATAAAATATTTTACCAGGAAAGATACATTGAGATTTCTCTTGTTTTCAAGTATGTCCTGGGTCCACAAAACATTGCATTGATACAATAGGGTACAATAAAATACAAAAACAATATTAATACACAATATATACAAAATTTAACAAAGAACAGGTAGGAAATATATAATCAACCATGACATGTGCATTCTGTTTTGAGGTATGTAGAAAGGGATCTCTTAAAGGACTTTAGGCTTGGGGAAGATTTGAAAGTGTGCGGGAGGTCGTTTCATAATTGCGGTGCTCTGTAGGAAATGGAGGATCGGGCTGCTTTCTTTTTGCATTGAGGTAGACTAAATAAAGTGCTGGTACTGGATCGGAGGTTATAGAAAGTGGGAACAGCTGGGGAAAGCATTTTGTTCAGGTAGGGTGGGAGCTTCCCAGAAAAGCTCTTAAACACAAGGCTGGAAAGAAGAAGGGTGCGTCTGGATTTCAGCGACAGCCAGTTTAGTTCTCTTAGCATGTCACAATGGTGTGTCCTGTAATTACATTGTAGCACAAATTGGCAGAACGAGTCATACAATTTATTGAGTTTATTAAGGTGGGTTTGCAGTGCAGGTGCATATACTATATCCCCATAATCAATGATTGGCATCAGCATTTGCTGTACAATCTTTTACTTTACTGTAGGGCTTAGGCAGGATTTGTTTATGTACAGGGCACCTAGTTTTGGATAAAGTTTAGATGCAAGTTTTTCTATGTGGAGGCCAAAATAGATTGTGGTCTAACAACATACTCATGTATTTGAAAGAGTGGACTGTGATCAGTGTGCTATTTGA